TTAGTATTTGGTAGCATTGCCTTTAAATTGTTTAACTTGGGTCAAACGTTTCAGGTAGCCTTCCACAAGCTTCCCACAATAAGTTGGGTGAATTTTGGCCCATTCCTCCTGACAGAGCTAGTGTAACTGAGTCAGGTTTGTAGGCCTCCTTGCTTGCACACGCTTTTTCAGTTCTGCCCACACATTTTCTATAGGATTGAGGTCAGGGCTTTTTGATGGCCAGTCCAATACCTTGACTTTGTTGTCCTTAAGCCATTTTGCCACAACTTTGGAAGTATGCTTGAGGTCATTGTCCATTTGGAAGACCCATTTGCGACCAAGCTTTAACTTCCTGACTGATGTCTTGAGATGTTGCTTCAATATATCCACATAATTTTCCTTCCACATGATGCCATCTATTTTGTGAAGTGCACCAGTACCTCCTGCAGCAAAGCACCCCCACAGCATGATGCTGCCACCCCCGTGCTTCACGGTTGGGATGGTGTTCTTCGGCTTGCAAGCGTCCCCCCTTTTCCTCCAAACATAACGATGGTCATTATGGCCAAACAGTTCTATTTTTCTTTCATCAGACCAGAGGACATTTCTCAAAAAAGTACAATCTTTGTCCCCATGTGCAGTTGCAAACCGTAGTCTGGCTTTTTTATGGCGGTTTTAGAGCAGTGGGTTCTTCCTTGCTGAGCGGCCTTTCAGGTTATGTCGATATAGGACTCGTTTTACTGTGGATATAGATACTTTTGTACCTGTTTCCTCCAACATCTTCACAAGGTCCTTTGCTGTTGTTCTGGGATTGATTTGCACTTTTCGCACCAAAGTATGTTCATCTCTAGGAGACAAAACGCGTCTCCTTCCTGAGCGGTATGACGGCTGCGTGGTCCCATGCTGTTTATACTCGCATACTATTGTTTGTACAGATGAACGTGGTACCTTCAGGCGTTTGGAAATTGCCCCCAAGGATGAACCAGACTTGTGGAGGTCTACAGTTATTTTTCTGAGGTCTTGGCTGATTTCTTTTGATTTTCCCATGAGGTCAAGCAAAGAGACACTGAGTTTGAAGATAGGCCTTGAAATACATCCACAGGAACACCTTCATTTGACTCAAATGATGTCAATTAGCCTATCAGAAGCTTCTAAAGCCATGACATCATTTTCGGGAATTTTCCAAGCTGTTTAAATGCACACTCAACTTAGTGTATGTAAACATCTGACCCACTGGAATTGTGATACAGTGAATTATAAGTGAAATAATCTGTCTGTAAATAATTGTTGGAAAAATTACTTGTGTCATGCACAAAGTAGATATCCTAACCGACTTGCCAAAACTATAGTTTGTTAAAAATAAATTTGTGGAGTGGTTGAAAAACGAGTTTTCATGACTCCAACCTAAGTGTATGTAAACTTCCGACTTCAAGTGTATGTACAAAAAATCAATATATCTCTCTTCTCTCTCTTTTCCACAAAGTATTTTGTCTTCTCTCATCATATTGCTGTATTTTTCCCTATAAAGGTGTCTAGTATCCTTTACCCAGGCCAGGGCTCTCTGGATGATTTCTGTCCTATCGGTCCTGGTGCTTCTCTTCTGCTGACACGGCAGAAACAGGGGAATGTAATTATGTAGCTTGGGGTCCTTCAGAGGAATCCATCACCTGCTACACAGCATTCTGGGTAATGTGTTGCTGACTAAACTTCCTCTCCTCTCATCCCTCTCTATGCCCCTAAATCAGAAACCTGCACATCCTATTGACACCTCCCTGTCCACTACCATCACACCCTCTCACCCCCTCAGCTCACACACAGATAGTCCATCCTCATCCACATTACGGCCAGAGGGAGTTGGTGAAAATGAATAGGTGTCTTAACTGCTATTTGCTACTGTATATCAATCAGCACTGCACCTATCTGTCTACAGAGGGTCCCTTGATTGACCTTTAACTCACAATGAGTCATCACACCAGTATATGGTATGATATGTGTCACACAATATGGCATTTTGTCATTAATATTGCTATACTGTACCTCTCTATTCCATTTAAAGGGCAGTCTAGATTACCGAGATCCAGTCCCTCACACCCTCACCCCCTGCTCCTCACCCCCTCAGTCCCTCACACTCTCACCCCCTGCTCCTCACCACTCTCACCCCCCTCAGTCCTTCACCCACTCCTCCTCACCCCCTCAGTCCCTCACACTCTCACCCCCCACTCCTCACCCCTCAGTCCCTCACACCCTCTTCATCACCCCTCACCCCCTCAGTGCCTCACCCCCCCCCCTCCTCCTCACCCCTTATTACCCCCTCAGTCCTCACCCCCCTCCTCCTCACCTCCTCTCACCCCTTCAGATGACAGGGATCCTGAGGAGACAAGGGGTGGGGGGGGGGTTGAGGACTGGAAGGGGGAGGGGGGGGGGGGGGGGGGATAAAGAGAGCGAGACATGACACCATGCACAGTGAGTCAGACGGACATCACAAGCAGGAGAGAGTGACAACAGAAAGTAGCCACTGCGCTGAAGGGGGGCCACAGTATTGCTGTGTTGAGGAGAGAGTGTTACCCTACACTATCCTGTGCTTGTGTTGTTGCTATGGCGATGGGGACCAAGGTTCTACTTGTCATCATCTTACTGGTTTCTTTTAACTGGTCCAGGGGGGCTGTCATCACTGGGGTGAGTGACACATCTTTAATGTCATCTTACTGGTTTCTTTCAACTGGTCCAGGGGGGCTGTCATCACTGGGGTGAGTGACACATCTTTAATGTCATCTTACTGGTTTCTTTCAACTGGTCCAGGGGGGCTGTCATCACTGGGGTGAGTGACACATCTTTAATGTCATCTTACTGGTTTCTTTCAACTGGTCCAGGGGGGCTGTCATCACTGGGGTGAGTGACAGATCTTTAATTCATGCTCTGTATGGAAATGTAAACTAATAGAGTTGTCATTGTGATACGTACTGTGGAATGAAAATAGAAAAATGTCTGGATGATTCATTTTTGGCTGTTCTTCTAGTTTAGAATGAGCTGAATGTGATCTTATAAATATATTATTTAGTATTTTATTGTTTTTATGCACAGTGACAGTTGAAAGGTAGAGAGACAGATACATAGAGAGTAGGGGTCATTAGAAGTGACAGTTGGAAGGTAGAGAGGGAGAGAGCGGGTATGTGTTTCCTGTTTCCAGTGTTTCCTGTCGAATCAAATTGTATTTGCCACATGCGCCGAATACAACAGGTGTAGACCTTACAGTGAAATGCTTACTTACAAGCCCTTAACCAACAATGCAGTTTTAAGAAAAACCTGTAATGTTAAGTAAAAAATAGATAGGTAAAAAAATAAAGAGCAGCAGTAAAATAGCTGTTCAGGAGTCTTATGGCTTGGGGGTAGAAGCTGTTAAGAAGCATTTTGGACCTAGACTTGGTGCTCTGGTACCGCTTGCCGTGCGGTAGCATAGAGAACAGTCTATGACTAGGGTGGCTGGAGTCTTTGACAATTTTTAGGGCCTTCCTCTGACACCACCTGATATAGAGATCCTGGATGGCAGGACGCTTGGCCACAGTGATGTACTGGGCCGTACGCACTACCCTCTGTAGTGCCTTGCGGTCGTAGACCGAGCAGTTGCCATACCAGGCAGTGATGCAACCAGTCAGGATGCTCTCAATGGTGCAGCTGTATAACATTTTGAGGATCTGAGGACCCATGCCAAATCTTTTCAGTCTCCTGAGGGGGAATAGGCTTTGTCGTGCCCTCTTCACGACTGTCTAGGTGTGTTTGGACCATGATCGTTTGTTATACAGCTCATTGAGTGCAGTTAGTGCCAGCATCGGTTTGTGGTGGTAAATAGACAGCTACGAAAAATATAGATGAAAACTATCTTGGTAAATAGTGTGGTCTACAGCTTATCATGAGATACTCTTCCTCAGATGCGCAAAACCTTGAGACTTCCTTAATATTAGATTTCGTGCACCAGCTGTTGTTTACAAATATACACAGACCGCCACCCCTTGTCTTTCCGGAGTAAGCCGTTCTATCCTACCGATGTAGCATATATCCCGCCAGCTGTATGTTATCCATGTCGTCGTTCAGCCAAGACTCGGTGAAACATAGGATATTACAGTTTTTAATGTCCCGTTGGTAGAATATCCGTGATCGTAGGTCGTCTATTTTGTTTTCCAATGATTGTACGTTGGCTAATCGGATTGATGGTAGAGGCAGATTACTCGCTCGCAGTCGGATACTTACAAGGTACCCCGACCTACGTCCACGATATCTCTGTCTGTAGAATATCCTTCACTTCCGACTCGTTGAAGAAAAAATATTTGTCCAATACGAGGTGAGTAATCGCTGTCCTGATATCCAGAAGCTCTTTTTGGTCATAAGAGACGGTGTCAGAAACATTATGTACAGAATAAATTACAAATAATGTGAAAAGACACCGTCTGGTTAGGGGGCCGTAAAATGGCAGCCATCTCCTCCGGCGTCATTACAGTGGGTATGTGTTTCCTGTTTCCAGTGGGTATGTGTTTCCTGTTTCCAGTGGGTATGTGTTTCCTGTTTCCAGTGGGTATGTGTTTCCTGTTTCCAGTGGGTATGTGTTTCCTGTTTCCAGTGGGTATGTGTTTCCTGTTTCCAGTGGGTATGTGTTTCCTGTTTCCAGTGGGTATGCGTTTCCTGTTTCCAGTGGGTATGTGTTTCCTGTTTCCAGTGGGTCAGAAGCTCCCCTACTACACCAGACTCCAGCACATGCTAGGCAATGTTGCAAAAAAACTTGCGTTTGAAAGTTTGCTACAATAAAAAAATGTGTGATGTGATCTCTCTCTCTCTCTCTCTCTCTCCTCTCTCTCTCTCTCTCTCTCTCTACTCTCTCTCTCTCTCTCTCTCTCTCTCTCTCTCTCTCTCTCTCTCTCTCTCTCTCTCTCTCTCTCTCTCTCTCTCTCTCTCTCTCTCTCTCTCTCTCCCCCCCTCTCTCTCTCTCTCTCTCTCTCTCTCTCTCTCTGTCTCTGTCTCTCCTCTCCTCTCAGGCATGTCATAGAGATGTTCAGTGTGGGTTTGGTCTGTGCTGTGCTGTCAGTCTGTGGCTTAGGGTACTGCGGATGTGTATACCACGAGGGGTAGTGGGGGACGAGTGCCACCCCTTCAGTCACAAGGTGAGGAACACACACACGTATGCATATGCTTGCTGGCACGTACTGGCTGGCACACGCACTCACACATGTGCAAACACACGCACTCACACACACACAGGTATACACAAACACACGCACGCACACACACACACAAACACATACAAGTGCGCCAAAAACACACATATGCACAAACACACACACTACAGCTGGAATGAAGAGAATATCAAGGTCTTGGCAGCTTGGCAGTTGTTGCTTAGGATGATAACTTTGGATGTTATTGATTTGTTTTCATCATGAATCAAACCAATCAAAGTAATACATCACTTTGATCATCTGGAGATCATCAAACCAATCAAAGTAAAACATCCCTTTGATCGGCTGGAGATCATCAAACCAGATTCAGATTCAGATCAACTTTATTATCCCACCAGGGGGAAATTCATTTGCTTCAAAAGACAATACATAAAACATGAAAACAAAGAAACTACACAAAATAATTAATTCAAAGTTCTATAACTACACATTTAAAGTGAAAGTGCAATCTGCTGTGTACTCCAGGGCCCAACAGACGATCTATTATACAACCTAATGGCTGTTGGAATAAAAGAGTCCCCATATCTATCTGTTTTTAAAGTATCTTTCCCCTTGTCCAGCTGCTGCTCTGACTGAATTTGAGTGAAGGGGATGAGTACTGTGCTGTAAAATGCTTTCATGTTTTAGGAGGATGAGTTTTGTGTACAGGTCTATACCAATTATCCTCCCCGCCGTCTTAATCAAGCGCTGAAGCTTGACTTGGTCTTGCACTCGCATGTTCCCGAACACGCATATCAGATCAAAGGACAGCACACTCTGCAGGACAGATTTACAGAACATTTGTAAGATATGGCGGTCGACATTAAAATGGTTCAGTTTGCGTTAAAAAAAACATTATCTGTTGCAATTTATTTTCTTTGCAAAGGCACAGTCATTGAATTTCAGTTTATTGTCTATTTCGATTCCCAGGTATACAGTGGGGGAAAAAAGTATTTAGTCAGCCACGAATTGTGCAAGTTCTCCCACTTAAAAAGATGAGAGAGGCCTGTAATTTTCATCATAGGTACACGTCAACTATGACAGACAAAATGAAAGAAAAAAAATCCAGAAAATCACATTGTAGGATTTTTTGATGAATTTATTTGCAAATTATGGTGGAAAATAAGTATTTGGTCACCTACAAACAAGCAAGATTTCTGGCTCTCACAGACCTGTAACTTCTTCTTTAAGAGGCTCCTCTGTCCTCCACTCGTTACCTGTATTAATGGCACCTGTTTGAACTTGTTATCAGTATAAAAGACACCTGTCCACAACCTCAAACAGTCACACTCCAAACTCCACTATGGCCAAGACCAAAGAGCTGTCAAAGGACACAAGAAACAAAAGTGTAGACCTGCACCAGGCTGAGAAGACTGAATCTGCAATAGGTAAGCAGCTTGGTTTGAAGAAATCAACTGTGGGAGCAATTATTAGGAAATGGAAGACATACAAGACCACTGATAATCTCCCTCGATCTGGGGCTCCACGCAAGATCTCACCCCGTGGGGTCAAAATGATCACAAGAACGGTGAGCAAAAATCCCAGAACCACACGGGGGGACCTAGTGAATGACCTGCAGAGAGCTGGGACCAAAGTAACAAAGCCTACCATCAGTAACACACTACGCCGCCAGGGACTCAAATCCTGCAGTGCCAGACGTGTCCCCCTGCTTAAGCCAGTACATGTTCAGGCCCGTCTGAAGTTTGCTAGAGTGCATTTGGATGATCCAGAAGAGGATTGGGAGAATGTCATATGGTCAGATGAAACCAAAATAGAACTTTTTGGTAAAAACTCAACTCGTCGTGTTTGGAGGACAAAGAATGCTGAGTTGCATCCAAAGAACACCATACCTACTGTGAAGCATGGGGTGGAAACATCATGCTTTGGGGCTGTTTTTCTGCAAAGAGACCAGGACGACTGATCCGTGTAAAGGAAAGAATTAATGGGGCCATGTATCGTGAGATTTTGAGTGAAAACCTCCTTCCATCAGCAAGGGCATTGAAGATGAAACGTGGCTGGGTCTTTCAGCATGACAATGATCCCAAACACACCGCCCGGGCAACGAAGGAGTGGCTTTGTAAGAAGCATTTCAAGGTCCTGGAGTGGCCTAGCCAGTCTCCAGATCTCAACCCAATAGAAAATCTTTGGAGGGAGTTGAAAGTCCGTGTTGCCCAGCGACAGCCCCAAAACATCACTGCTCTAGAGGAGATCTGCATGGAGGAATGGGCCAAAATACCAGCAACAGTGTGTGAAAACCTTGTGAAGACTTACAGAAAACGTTTGACCTGTGTCATTGCCAACAAAGGGTATATAACAAAGTATTGAGAAACTTTTGTTATTGACCAAATACTTATTTTCCACCATAATTTGCAAATAAATTCATTAAAAATCCTACAATGTGATTTTCTGGATTTTTTTCTTCTAATTTTGTCTGTCATAGTTGACGTGTACCTATGATGAAAATTACAGGCCTCTCTCATCTTTTTAAGTGGGAAGAACTTGCACAATTGGTGGCTGACTAAATACTTTTTTTCCCCCCACTGTATATGTGGTCACTCTATCGACTCCCCATTGATTTTCGTAGGGGATAGTGGAGTTTTGTTCCTTCTGAAATCACATTTCCATCTCTTTTGTTTTCTTAACGTTTATTTCAAGAAAGTTATATGCACACCGCTGGATGAATTTTGCCATTTCTCTGTCAAAAGAACAAGCCCGTAGCTCATCAGTCTTATACCTTATGCGTTATGCGTTGTACATTGCCATGCATAATAGATGGAAGTGTTCTGAAGGGCTGTTTTTTAAATCAGATTCCGAATTCCTCATCTACTGCCACGCGTCCTTGGTTTAGAAGCCTTTCCTTGGGAACACGTTGATTGTATTAATGGTGGTATTCCATTGCAGTGTAGACTTGCAGCAAAGGGTCGGAGATTAAGCAGGACATCTCTTGTGTGTGATATCCGCGGTTGCGGCTCGCTGTATCCATTGAGGGCTAGGTCGACAGCTTGTTTGGTGCGTTTCACAAAAAAAAACGGATTAAAACTATCCGCCAAAGCACTGCTATTTGCCTCAATATTAATTATCCGATTTAATACCACTAAAACATGGTTGGTTGAGGTAGATCGCAACTTTAAAATAATTTTTTATTTTTTTTTACGGAAGAGACGAGTACAAATGACCGTGTCACTGCAAGAACAGACGCCAGACCTTGTTGAGGGTGCTGCTGTCCTTGTGAAAGTAACACATCACTTTGATCGGCTGGAGATCGGCTCAGCCTCCAGCCGGTTAGTTCACTCCACAAAGTTTATCTCTGGCAATTGACAACTAACTGAATGGTTCTCCATTTCCCACTTGAATAGTTCCATAATCTCTCCTTACTATTAGTCGGTTGCGTTTGACGAAGTCTATACGTTTAGCCCTAGAGCTGTTGGCTCAATGTGATGTAATGGAACCTAAGGGAGATCAATAAAGTTGAATTGAATTTAAATAATGTTTCTTTATTCCAGGTGCCCTATCCAGGAAAAAGGCAGCATCACACCTGTCCATGTCTTCCTGATTTGGTCTGCACCAGCTACACAGGTAGCAAATACAGGTGTACCAAAGACTTCAAAAACCTAGACTTTTGATGACAGAGGAAGAAGAGAGAAGAAGAGGACATCTCAAAGGGGAAAGATGGAAAACAATGACAGCAGCACCCTGGATCACACATTACCTTCACTCTGTTCCCCTTAGTCCCTCGATCACACATTACCTTCACTCTGTTCCCCTTAGTTCCTCGATCACACATTACCTTCACTCTGTTCTCTTAGTCCCTGGATCACACATTACCTTCACTCTGTTCCCCTTAGTCCCTGGATCACACATTACCTTCACGCTGTTCTCTTAGTCCCTCGATCACACATCAACTTCACTCTGTTCCCCTTAGTTCCTCGATCACACATTACCTTCACTCTCTTCCCCTTAGTTCCCCGATCACACATCAACTTCACTCTGTTCCCCTTAGTTCCTCGATCACACATCACCTTCACTCTCTTCCCCTTAGTTCCTCGATCACACATCAACTTCACTCTGTTCCCCTTAGTCCCTCGATCACACATTACCTTCACTCTGTTCCCCTTAGTCCCTGGATCACACATTACCTTCACGCTGTTCTCTTAGTCCCTCGATCACACATCAACTTCACTCTGTTCCCCTTAGTTCCTCGATCACACATTACCTTCACTCTGTTCCCCTTAGTCCCTGGATCACACATTACCTTCACTCTCTTCCCCTTAGTTCCTCGATCACACATCAACTTCACTCTGTTCCCCTTAGTCCCTCGATCACACATTACCTTCACTCTGTTCCCCTTAGTCCCTGGATCACACATTACCTTCACGCTGTTCTCTTAGTCCCTCGATCACACATCAACTTCACTCTGTTCCCCTTAGTTCCTCGATCACACATTACCTTCACTCTGTTCCCCTTAGTCCCTGGATCACACATTACCTTCACTCTCTTCCCCTTAGTCCCTCGATCACACATTACCTTCACTCTGTTCCCCTTAGTCCCTGGATCACACATTACCTTCACTCTGTTCCCCTTAGTCCCTGGATCACACATTACCTTCACGCTGTTCTCTTAGTCCCTCGATCACACATCAACTTCACTCTGTTCCCCTTAGTTCCTCGATCACACATTACCTTCACTCTGTTCCCCTTAGTCCCTGGATCACACATTACCTTCACTCTCTTCCCCTTAGTCCCTCGATCACACATTACCTTCACTCTGTTCCCCTTAGTCCCTGGATCACACATTACCTTCACTCTGTTCCCTTAGTCCCTCGATCACACATCAACTTCACTCTGTTCCCCTTAGTCCCTGGATCACACATCACCTTCACTCTCTTCCCCTTAGTTCCTCGATCACACATCACCTTCACTCTCTTCCCCTTAGTTAGTCTTTGTTCTATGTACTATAGGAACTGTTATATTCCATGACAATATAACATCTGTAAATACACCTCACTGTGCCCCACTGGCCACCAAAGAAATGCCAAGACAGTATATACATGCTAAACTGTGCCAAGACAATATATAGATGCTAAACAGTGCCAAGAACTTACATAGCTGATTTAAAAAAAAATGGATGTACCAATTGCAGACTGTAGTTTAATACACATGCCTGCCAAAAGCTTAATGCAAATCATAATAATATACTGTTTTATTCATATGCAAATGTTATGTTTTTTCTTTATTATCAAAATTGTATATATTTGCAAATAAAACTCACTGTATCGTACCACTGTGAAAAACATGTAATTACTCTCTGTGTTGTGTCTGTTGTTGTGCAATTATATAAGTAATATATATACTGAACAAAATATAAACACAACATGCAACAATTTCAATGACTTTACTGAGTTACAGTTCATATAAGGAAATCAGTCAATTTAAATAAATGTATTCGGCCCAAATCTATGGATTTCACATGACTTGGCAGGGGCGCAGCCATGGGTGGGCCTATGCCCTCCCAGGCCCACCCATGGCTGCGCCCCTTCCAAGTCATGTGAAATCCATAGATTAGGGCCTAATACATTTATTTAAATTGACTGATTTCCTTATATGAACTGGGTGGGCCTGGGAGGGCATAGGCCCACCCACAGCCAATCAGGCTTTCCCCACAAAAGGGCTTTATTACAGACATAAATACTCCTCAGTTTCATCAGCTGTCAGCTCATGAAACATGGGACCAACACTTTACATGTTGCGTTTATATTTTTGTTCAGTATAAGTCCACACCTCATTGTTTTACTTGAGTATCACGTGGCCGTAATCAGCCTCTTCAAAGCTCTCCTGATGCCCTTGCCTTTCCTATGACTAAAACGTGTGAGAATCAATGTCAAATTAGGCTTATAAAGGTTACATTCAACATATGTTGTGGCTATAGAAACATCATTGTGAACAATCTGATTGTCAAAACAAGTCATGACATGAATAGTTGAGTCATATTTCATAGCTGCATTCTGATGTTTGTTAACAATGTCAAACATATTCCCAGTCAATCAGTCATTTAGAAACCATCATAGGGAGCAGTGTACTGTTCCTTACACATTCCTCATCATCATTACATTTACATTTACATTTACATTTTAGTCATTTAGCAGACGCTCTTATCCAGAGCGACTTACAGGAGCAATTAGGGTTAAGTGCCTTGCTCAAGGGCACATTTACGTCATTTAGCAGACGCTCTTATCCAGAGCGACTCACAAATTGGTGCATTCACCCTATAGCCAGTGGGATAACCACTTTACAATTTTTTTTTTTGGGGGGGGGGGGGGGGGTAGAAGGATTACTTTATCCTATCCCAGGTATTCCTTAAAGAGGTGGGGTTTCAAATGTCTCCGGAAGGTGGTGAGTGACTCCGCTGTCCTGGCGTCGTGAGGGAGCTTGTTCCACCATTGGGGTGCCAGAGCAGCGAACAGTTTTGACTGGGCTGAGCGGGAACTATGCTTCCGCAGAGGAAGGGGAGCCAGCAGGCCAGAGGTGGATGAACGCAATGCCCTCGTTTGGGTGTAGGGACTGATCAGAGCCCGAAGGTACAGAGGTGCCGTTCCCCTCACTGCTCCATAGGCAAGCACCATGGTCTTGTAACGGATGCGAGCTTCAACTGGAAGCCAGTGGAGTGTGCGGAGGAGGGGGGTGACGTGAGAGAACTTGGGAAGGTTGAACACCAGACGGGCTGCGGCATTCTGGATGAGTTGTAGGGGTTTAATGGCACAGGCAGGGAGGCCAGCCAACAGCGAGTTGCAGTAATCCAGACGGGAGATGACAAGTGCCTGGATTAGGACCTGTGCCGCTTCCTGTGTAAGGCAGGGTCGTACTCTCCGAATGTTGTAGAGCATGAACCTGCAGGAGCGGGTCACCGCCTTGATGTTAGCGGAGAACGACAGGGTGTTGTCCAGGGTCACGCCAAGGCTCTTCATCATCATCAACAATAGTGGAGAGACAGATATTGGCACTCAAATAATGAAACTCAAACCCTATCCGTCTCCTGCAGTAAGGAAGAGGACATTGTGACAGATTACGATACAGTATACCAATATACTTCAGAATGATTTAATTACATAGCACTGTAAACTCTACCCACATGTACATCTTACCTCAATTACCTCGACAAACCGGTGCCCCCGCACATTGACTCTGTACCGGTACCCCCTGTATATAGCCTCCCTACTGTTATTTCACATTGACTCTGTACCGGTACCCCCTGTATATAGCCTCCCTACTGTTATTTCACATTGACTCTGTACCGGTACCCCCTGTACATAGCCTCACTACTGTTGTTTTATTTTACTGATGCTCTTTAATTATTTGCTATTTTTCTTTTTTACTTAACACTTTTTTTCTTTTCTTAAAACTGCATTGTTGGTTAAGGGCTTGTAAGTAAGCATTTCACTGTAAGGTCTACTACACCTGTTGTGGCGCATGTGGCAAATACAATTTGATTTGATTTAATATTTAATATTTAATATATTTACATTTACATTTTAGTCATTTAGCAGACGCTCTTATCCAGAGCGACTTACAGTTAGTGAGTGCATACATTTTTCATATATCTACTGATGTTTTCTCATTCAGATAAAAGTTATTCCCAGTTATATTAGCGTTTTGTTTATATTGTGGAGGGTGCCATACGGAAGCAGTAGATCTCCTTTCGAATTGTGTCCTGCAGGTCATCTTTATGTTATTGTTTTAAATTAGAAAAAGAAACAAGCATTTTCATATTTAAACTGGATAAAATGTGATCTTTAAAATGTTTTGTCAACTACTACCTCAACATCTTCAGACATTTAATTGTCTTGGACCTTTTTCTTCATATATTGCTGTGTTGTTGTTGAACGCTGTTATCAAATAACTTTGGCAATGGCAAGCTAGTCTACTTTCCCAAATGGAAACATGGGACATTTTGATAAGATTATGAAAGGTACAGCAAAGGATAATGCAATGCCATTCATTGAGCAAAGGATAATGTAATGTCATTCATTGAGTACTAGGGGAGAGTGGGGTATGTTGAGCCATTTTTTTACATTCAGCATGACTTAGTCCCAGATAGGTGCAGTGAAATATGTTGTTTTGGAGGGTCAGTCATAGTAGTACGGTGCCCCTGGAGCAAATTAGGGTTAACGACAGATTTTTCTCCTTGTCGGCTCAGGTTTCGCTAACAGTGATTGAGTTATGTTATTGCCTAAATTATTACTATGAATAACACGCACACTGCTCTTGCTAGTATCACTGCTCTTTATTAAGCTTTACATATCGGCCTCAAGGCCTTCGTCAGAGCTTTTGACGAAGGCCGTGAGGCCGATACGTAAAGCTTAATTAAGAGGAGCGATACTAGCAAGAGCAGCGATACTAGCAAGAGCAGCGATACTAGCAAGAGCAGCGATACTAGCAAGAGCAGTGTAGAGGTTCTATGTTTATCAGCATGCAAAGTGTGATATAAAACATGGCAAATGATCTGCCGTGAAAGAAGGAGCAAGACGTTCTGATTAGCTGTGTGTCTACGGCGCGTCTACAGGCAGCGATTGTTCAGAACTTCTGTTTGCTAACAGTGATGAGGTTTATGTTATTAGCTAAGTTATAAACTATGCAAAATCTTCGTCAGACATAAGAAGTGATAGGTCTCTGCTCAGGCATAGTTTGCAAATCTGCTATGATGAGTTAGTATACAATCCTTAATTATAAAGCGCAACTTTATGGTGAAAAACTAGCTTCCCTTAACTTGAAACTCACGTGCCACCTATGGATGTCGGCATTTGAAGTCGGCCTTGTTGTGACTTGATAATGTGTATTATGCATCTGTTTCACGTTGCACTGTATGCGCCGTTCCACAAGTAAATGAGCCAATTTATGATGAGGTTGAGTTGTGGTTGTACAAAACATTAGGAACACCTGTTCTTTCCATTACAAAATCAAATCAAATCAAATAAACTTTTATTTGTCACATGCGCCGAATACAACAGGTGTAGACCGTGAAATGCTTACTTACAAGCCCTTAACCAAAAATGCAGTTTTAAGAAAAATAAGTGTTAAGAAAGTATTTACTAAAATAAACTGAAGTAAAAAATATATAAATAACAAATAAAAATAGAAAAGAAGAAAATAGAAAAATAACAAATTATTAAAGAGCAACAATAAAATAACAATAACGAGGCTATATACAGGGGGGTACCAGTACTGAGTCAATGTGCGGGGGCACAGGTTAGTCGAGGTAATTGAGGTAATATGTACATGTAGGTAGAGGTAAACTGACTATGCATAGATAATAAACAGAGAGTAGCAGCAGTGTAAAAAGTCAATGCAAATATCCATTTGATTAGCCGTTCAGCTTTGGGGTAGAAGCTGTTAAGAAGCCTTTTGGACCTAGACTTGGCGCTCCGGTACTGCTTGCCGTGCGGTAGCAGAGAGAACAGTCTATGACTAGGGTGGCTGGAGTCTCTGACACCGCCTGGTATAGAGGTCCTGGATGGCAGGAAGCTTGGCCACAGTGATGTACTGGGCCGTACGCACTACCCTCTGTAGTGCCTTGCGGTCGGAGGCCGAGCAGTTGCCATACCAGGCAGTGATGCAACCAGTCAGGATGCTCTCGATGGTGTAGCTGTAGAACTTTTTGAGGATCTGAGGACCCATGCCAAATCTTTTCAGTCTCCTGAGGGGGAATAGGCGTTGTCGTGCCCTCTTCACGACTGCCTTGGTGTGTTTGGACCATGATAGTTTGTTGGTGATGTGGACACCAAGGAACTTGAAGCTCTCAACCTGCTCCACTACAGCCCCGTCGATGAGAACGGGGGCGTGCTCGGCCCTCCTTTTCCTGTAGACCACGATCATCTCCTTTGTCTTGAACACGTTGAGGGAGAGGTTATTATCCTGGCACCACACGGCCAGGTCTCTGAACTCCCTATAGGCTGTCTCATCGTTGTCGGTGATCAGGCCTACCACTGTTGTGTCGTCGGCAAACTTAATGATGGTGTTGGAGTCGTGCTTTGCCATGCAGTGATGTGTGAACAGGGAGTACAGGAGGGGACTGAGCACGCACCCCTGAGGGGCCCCCGTGTTGAGGATCAGCATGGCAGATGTGTTGTTACCTACCCTTACCACCTGGGGGCAGCCCGTCAGGAAGTCCAGGATCCAGTTGCAGAGGGTGGTGTTTAATCCCAGGGTCCTTAGCTTAGTGATGAGCTTTGAGGGTGGTGTTGAACGCTGAGCTGTAGTCAATAAATTGCATTCTCACGTAGGTGTTCCTTTTGTCCAGGTGGGAAAGGGCAGCGTGGAGTGCAATAGAGATTGTGTCATCTGTGGATCTGTTGGGGCGGTATGCAAATTGGAGTGGGTCTAGGGTTTCTGGGATAATGGTGTTGATGTGAGCCATGACCAGCCTTTCAAAGCACTTCATGGCTACAGACGTGAGTGCTACAGGTCGGTAGTTATTTAGGCAGGTTACCTTGGTGTTCTTGTGCACAGGGACTATGGTGGTCTGCTTGAAACATGTTGGTATTACAGACTCGGTCAGGAACAGTTTGAAAATGTCAGTGAAGACACTTGCCTGCTGGTCAGCGCATGCTCGGAGTACACGTCCTGGTAATCCGTCTGGCCCTGCGGCCTTGTGAATGTTGACCTGTTTAAAGGTCTTACTCACATCGGCTACGGAGAGCGTGATCACACAGTCGTCCGGAACAGCTGGTGCTCTCATACATGCTTCAGTGTTGCTTGCCTCGAAGCGGCATAGAAGTCATTTAGCTCATCTGGTAGGCTCGTGTCACTTGGCAGCTCGCATCTGTGCTTCCCTTTGTAGTCCGTAATAGTTTGCAAGCCCTGCCACATCCGACGAGCGTTGCCTGTTTGATGGTTCGTCGGAGGGCATAGCGGGATTTCTTATAAGCGTCCGGGTTAGAGCCCCGCTCCTTGAAATCAGCAGCTCTACCTTTTAGCTCAATGCAGATGTTGCCTGTAATCCATGGCTTCTGGTTGGGGTATGTACATACGGTTGCTGTGGGGACGACGTCATCTATGCACTTATTGATGAAGCCAGTGACTGATGTGGTGTACTTCTCAATGCCATCGGATGAATCCCGGAACATATTCCAGTCTGTGCTAGCAAAACAGTCCTGTGGCTTAGCATCTGCGTCATCTGACCAGTTCCGTATTGAGTGAGTCACTGGTACTTCCTGCTTTAGTTTTTGCATAGACTGACCAGGTGAATCCAGGTGAAAGCTATGATTTCCTTATTGATGTCACTTCTTAAATCCACTTCAATCAATGTAGTTGAAGTGGAGGAGACAGGTTAAATAATAATTGAGACATGGATTGTGTATGCAAGCTATTCAGAGGGTGAATGGGCAAGACAAAATATTTAAGTGCCTTTTAACGGGTTATGATAGTAGGTGCCAGGCACACCAGTTTGAGTGTGTGAAGAACTGCAACGCTGTTGGCTTTTTCACGCTCAACAGTTTCCTGTGTGTATCAAGAATGGTCCACCACCAAAAGGACATCCAGCCAACTTGACACAACTGTAGGAGTCAACATGCGCCAGCATCCCCGTGGATCCCTTTCGACACCTTGTAGAGTCCATGCCCCGACAAAAAAACTCAATGTTAGGTAGGTGTTCCTAATGTTTTGTACATTCAGTGAATATGCTCTTCCACAGACCTTTAAACCTAATATTGCGTTGGTAATTAATGGGTGGGGTCATTTTTTTTTGCTTTTGCTGTTCTCCAAATAGTATTTTAGAGTTTTTAAATTGTGTAGAAATGCAGTAAATTAACTTAAACTTCCCAAAAATGTCCCCCTCCCCCCACTTCGCCGTATCCTAGGTTTAGCTGAACTGACCCCACCGTGGCACAGACTAGTATCCAGCTATATTTTGCTTCCCAAGATTAGATAATGACAGACTGTTCATAAAAAAAAAAAATTCCGAAGCATATTTACTTTTGCTACATAGGCGTTTTATATTTGTAACCACATCACACTTTTCTTATCTGAAGTTGTGTTATCATCTGTGTTCCAAATGACACTCTGTTCCCTATATAGTGCACTACTTTTGACCAGAGGCATATGGGCCCTGTCAAAAGTAGTGCACTATATTGGGGATAGGGTGCCATTTGGGACACTCCGATTGCATGATATTGTGTGCTAAAGGAGGGCATGGCATGACATGGTCAATTGGCTGTGGATTGGGTCCTGGTGTACAGGGATAACTGTATATAAGGTCTTGGTTCTCCTACTCTAACTACACTCGCTCAGTCCAAGAAGAACCAGGAAGCAACCATGATGAAGTGGGCTGTCGTCCTGTGTGCCCTAGTGGCCCTCTCCGAGTCTATTAAGTAAGTCCTGTGCTTTTTCTTCTTTATTTTATTTTATTTTCTGTCTGCATATTCTGTTTATTGTTGTCAGCACCGTGTCAAATTCCTGGTACACGTAATTGGCGAATAAAGGTGATTTAGATTGTGACTGTGTGTTTTCAGGATCTCTCTGATCAAGGGGAAGACTGCCAGAGAGACCCTGATGGAGAAAGGTATATGGGAGGAGACTAGGCAGAAGTTCCCCTCCAACCCTATGGCCAAGTTCTACCAGACCGGTGATGAGGCTATGACCAACGACGCTGACGTAAGGCAGAGACAGAAGCAGTATGGCGATATACTGAATTAGCCTGGTGACTGGTCCCAGATCTGTTTTTTTTGCTATATAGCTAATGACCATGGGAGTTGTCTAGACAGCACAAACAGACCTGGGACCAGGCTGGTCTATAGGCTATATGATTGTTGTTTCAAAAAAATGTAATTACATGTTGGATATTGTGACTGCATAGTTTGAACCCATTGGCTCTACAGTTTGTGTTCATGTCTTGCTTAAATTAAATGTACACTGGCGTGATCAAATTAATTATGAGCTTAGAGTTGAGCATATAGCCATGTAACCAGCTACATAGTTAGACAAATGCCTGTTTCTTCATAGTACTCTGCAATGTTCACTTGTGTGACCCTGACTCACAGTGCATCTCTGTTTCAACGTCTCTCCGCAGTTGTCCTACTACGGCGTGATCTCCATTGGAACCCCTCCTCAGTCCTTCAAGGTCATCTTTGACACTGGCTCCTCCAACCTGTGGGTTCCCTCTGTCTCCTGCTCCAGCCAGGCCTGCCGTGAGTATATTGTATGGGGTCTGGAGAATACTGTTGGCGTTGGAGAATAGCTATATTTCAAATGGTTTCTAAGTAGTCTCTTGTGACGGTACCTAGCCAGAGAATGGGAGACTTGGTTGTGGGTTGAGGTTAGGGGCTGAGGGAAGCACCTTGAGGTTTACTGCATAAGGAGGTTGGTTCAACACAACGAAACAATAGAACAGGATGAATGTATTTTTATATTGTCCCCTTCAGGGCGTGGATTGTAGAGAATAGCTCAAAGTTTTAAATACCAATGAATAAAATGAATGTTCAGTTTTGCAATGGCACGGTGTGTACTTGGTCTGTAATGAAGATGTTTATGTTTTGAATAGAGAACCATGCCAAATTCAACCCTGCACAGTCCACCACCTTCTCGTGGGCCAACCAGCCTGTTTCCATTCAGTACGGAACTGGCAGCATGACTGGACAGCTGGCATACGACACTGTTTCGGTATGTAAATGTAGCTAGCTACACATTATTGTGATACACGTTCCATTGACACTTTCAATTACAACATACCTGTACATTACATACAATACAAATAATCTTCCACTCAGCACCCGCCCTCCCCTAGCACTCCCATCTTATAACATCACATGCTAAAAAAAATACACACATATATTAGTAACTGACTCCAGTATAGTCAAATATAATTACTATTTTGGGTACACTCAATATGGCCACCGGTCCACAATGGGAAAATCCTGTTCTAGTAATTCTATTTCTATGGTGCCCAGTGACTGATGCCTGCTGTTCTGTGTTTCCAGGTGGGAGGTATCTCTGTGACTCAGCAGATCTTCGCTGCCAGTCAGACCGAGGCCCCCTTCATGGCCATCATGGTTGCCGACGGTATCCTGGGCCTGGCTTTCCCCAACCTGGCAGCCTCTGGGGCCACGCCCGTCTTTGACAACATGATGACCCAGGGCCTGGTGTCCCAGAACCTCTTCTCTGTCTACCTGAGCAGGTAACATAGTAACTGTACAAATACACCTGGATGGGAGGTGGCATTTTCTCATAGTTGTGATATTAATAAATAAGAAATGTACCAGTGAATTGATATTAAATACAATTATACAACTGCTTTAAATTTTCTTTGAAGGAAAGATGACATCCATTTCAAAATGCGTTGATGATTAAACAACCTTGTTGACCTTTTCTCCTCCTCCTCCAATAGAAACTCAGCAGAGGGTAGCGTGGTGTCCTTCGGTGACATCGAGTCTAACTACTACACCGGACAGATCACATGGATCCCCCTGTCCTCCGAGACCTACTGGCAGATAAACATGGACAGGTAGGTACACTAGTCCACACAGAGCCTATATCCTGGTCCATATTCATACCAAGATGAATGTCTATATATCCCCTTTACTCTACACAGAGCACTATGTCCCTGTCCAACATGTTATCAACTTTAGTATCATCCTTTCATGCCATTACCCAGAACACATTGGGGCAGTACATAAAATGAATATACCTACTTCCAGTCTGGAGCCTATGACTAAATCTTGCTGTGCACGTAGTTCAAGTTCAAGTTTATTTGCTCACAACAACAACAAAAAAAACAACAGGTAAACTCAGCAAGTATTTTTCCTTCCAGTGTTACCATCAACGGCAACACAGTGGCTTGCAATGGTGGCTGTCAGGCTATCATAGATACTGGTACCTCCCAGATCGTCGGGCCAACCACTGAAATCAAAAACATAAACAGCTGGCTCGGAGCCACCGCTGACAAGTACGGAGATGTGAGTCACACACATACACACACACGCACACACACACACACACACGCACACACACACGCACTGACTGGTACAGAGATGTCCAACTAGAAGGCTTTTCACACTACTGAGCGGAACCAAACCAAGCTGCACTAAAGCTGCCTGGCCTTGTTAGTTGTTGGAACGACCGTGTTGTTGGAACGACCGTGATGTTAGAGCGACCGTGTTGTTGGAACGACCGTGCTAAAATTATTTTGGTTGGGACCGGCGTGGCAGTGTGAAAAGGGTGTACATCTGTTCTCTTGTTGTTTTTTTCCCCTCCCCTTTGATTAACCACAGAATAAAACTATAACATGTGATGTTATTATTCCTCTCCTAGGCCCTCGTGAACTGCAACAACATCCCCAACATGCCCGAGGTGACCTTCACCCTCAACGGAAACGCCTTCACCATCTCTGCCTCCGCCTACACCTCCCAGGTAGTCTACTGAAAGACATGTTGATACATACAACCTATGACCTCCCAGGTAGTCTACTGAAAGACATGTTGATACATACAACCTATGACCTCCCAGGTAGTCTACTGAAAGACATGTTGATACATACAACCTATCACCTCCCAGGTAGTCTACTGAAAGACGTTACATACAACCTATCTGCCTATCTGATCTTTAATGCTGATGTGTTTCGGATCAAGCTCCTTCATCAGAGCACCTGTACATCTGAGACTTGACCTTTCTTGTAGATCCTAGGAGCAAAGGGCCTCACATGCCTGATTTCCCTCCTCTTTCTCTCTCTGTCTCCATCTCTGTCTTTCTCTCTCTCTCTCTCTCTCTCTCTCTCTCTCTAACGGCTGCAGGACTGGCTCTCCAACAGCTGCAGGACTGGTTTTGGTAACGGTGGAACTCAGCAGCTTTGGATCCTTGGAGATGTCTTCATCAGGCAGTACTATGCCATCTTTGACAGGCAGAACAACAGTGTCGGCCTGGCCCAGGCCACGTAAGATATCCACTGAGAGAGAAGTCTGGATCGAATCGAAGTCTTCCAGTTATGAGAAGTAATATGTTGTGTATGTGATTGCAGCACTAAAATCGGCATGGTTGGGGAAATGCTGTAGATTGTGAAATGTGCACAGCTGCCAATGAATTAAACACATTTTAGCATGGCAAATAAACAGAGTGTTTGGTTGTCTATAGCTCTTTCTCCCTGAAGTGAAACTATCCTCTTGTGGAACCTCTTAATGTAAGAAAAATAATAGAATACTGTAGAATATGGACCTGAACATGGTGGAGGCAGATAGGCCTAGAGCCATAGATAACCATCTCTTATAGGACTCTGGGTAGGGGAACTCTCTGTCTGTAAGGTTTTCTCCAGAGGAAAGTGACTGATAAGGACATGGTGATCGGATGCCAGATAACCTGATGTCCAGATAGATACTGTATCTCACTCTGGTTCTGGTGCTGTCAATCTATCTCAGCCTGTCAATAGAGCCAGCTTGTTGAAAGACAGTCTGATATCAAATCCTGGTGCAGCGGAGTCATCCTTTATTTGTATGGTTTATAAGTAAACTATTATATAGATATAAATCAATCACCTTAAAGCTAGAATCTGCATTTGAAACAAAGTGGTCACCCCACCTCTGTTTTGGTAAAAAAGCTGAGGGATTGGCCTAGAGAAATGTAACCACTAAAATTCCTAGACAAAGCTATGGATGCAAGGACTGACCATCCATGATATCAACATGATAGTTCTATGCCTAGATTCAATCAAATCAAGCGTCAACCGGCGATAGCCGACTCCCGCATAGCTGATGTTTTGGCGGTGTCGGAACTGCGTTGGAGCGGTCAAATCGGTGAGCAGCTGCTCTTGCGATCGTCACGCAGGCACACCCGTCCCACTCCTGTTAGAAGTTCAGAACGAGAATATGTAGGCTATACAGAAATAATGACGCTCAAATTGAAAATCATTCAATTAAATAATGAGGATTTCTAAATCAGCCAAATCGAGATGTAGATTACATCTCACATTCCAGTACTTGAACTTGTAAACAAGGCTGCGTGGGGTATCTATTATTGCGACTCTGTGCAGCCAATAGCAGTGTCCGCTTTAGGTATAGTGCCCAGAGCCGCTTGTGGATTTGACAACTAACGCAGTTCCACCTCCGACACTGCAAAAACAACCGCTCTGCAGATATCGGCTAAAGCAGATCTGATTGAATAGAGCCCTAAACAAGGTTGAGGCTATGCAGTGTTTATTTACAAACATCGGAGTAAAAAAAGCATCTATTTTGGGTTCTGATGGGGTACGACAGTTGAACTAAGGTAATGAGGCATTTATAAGTTATATTCTTCAAGAATCAATGGGTATATATATATAACAAAAATGTATGCAGCAACTAAGGATTCTGGCTTTAAAACACAGTTTTCGTACTTAATTATCCACATTGAAGCAAGATACAGATAGCCTGGTCATGACAACATATCAAGAGTTACAGATATGTAATGTCCGGTTCAGCGTCGGTTGCTAGCCAGTGTGGAGTAGACCACCGTCCCAGCAGGCTCTCTGTGTGGGTCGGGGTCATGACCTCTGGGGCTGCGGAGTGTCTGTAGGTTAGCATACAGCTCTGTGGTACGGTTCTCATGAGGCTTGAAGTCCACTGTGGTGTAGACGACACTGCTCTCCTCCTGAGGGACATCCTGCCGGAGACATACATATTACATATTATTTGGTAACACTTTACATTAAAAAGAGGCCCAGCGCATTTAAAATTCAGTTTTTCATGTGTTTTCATATTGTACAACAGCTGATGAAACTAACACTGTAAAAGTGGAAACAGATTTGATCAGTGCTATTTCCTGATAGTTGCTGGTTGAAAGTACAATCTACACAGAACAGGACCTAATCAGCAGGTTTGCATGGGCGGGCGTGTCGGCTTTCCATGGTGACATAAACACGCGGTAACTTGATTAATAGACCAATAAAAGAGAGTTCCAAACCGCTCTGCCAATAACAGCTAGTATTTGATTTCCCCTCCCCACTCAGACCACTCACAGAAAGTCTTAGCAAAATTCTTGTTTGAGAAATAGTTTTGTTGCTAAAAAGCTATTTTTGCACAATTTAATGGAAACCTATTACAGTAAGGTACTTAATTGTGGTGGGGTTGGAAAGTAATAAAGGGGAATATATTTCAAAAAAGGATATGTATATATATGTATGTGTATATGTATGTATATATAAAAAAAAAACAATGGGGGATTGGAAGTGATGCAGACAATTACATTGATGGAAGTTACAATCTAGCTGCAATATTAAAGCTGATCTACCCCCTAAAAATAAAAAGATACTACAATTGTTGCCCAGAAACGATTTGATATTGAGATAAAAACGGCCGCATTGGGCCTTTTAGGTATACTTCATAAGTAGCCATACATATTTATAAGTAGTTTATAAACTGTTCATTATGGGGCACGCTGCAGAAGACATCAACAGGGAAAAGACATAATGGGAACGTCAAGCTCAAACACAAATATTATTATTTGTTGTTGTTGTTGTTTTCTGGGACAAAATACATTTGACACAGAGTCACAGAGACAACGTCCAACTTTAGCACTTACTGAGAGGATGTGGGCCGCTGAGTCACTGGAAGTTGCTCCACATTTCTCTGTGAAGAAAAATACAATTACATCAATTTAACAAAGAACAGTCACAGTGAAACAATTTTCAAAAATCATTGCACCTTACTGGCTAAAGGTCATAGCCTACGCATTTGAAAAATGATTTAACATGAACAGCAATTAATGTATGGAACACTGAAAATGTGTCCTCTTACTTTTTGTGATGATTTTGTGATGAACCACAACAACGATTACTGAGCTGATAATCACCATAACGATGAAGAGTCCTGCAGCCAGTGGTAAACCAAAGCTCCAGGGAACACTAACAGGTGAATAGGACAAACATGACAAAATATTGACATAAGCATTACAACGCTCCCTGAAATATAACATTATCAACTGCGAGGAATAATTAACCAGTATGTGTGTGTGAGAGAGAGATTGCACCTGGGGCTGTCACTGTGGTCCTTGGAGAAAACAGGCCCAGAGGTGTCTGAGTAGGAGGATGATGAGATGGAGGGTCTGATAGTTGACCTGACAGGAGGTCGAGGGGGTACAGGACCGCTACTTCGACCACTATCTAAACAGAGACTGAGTTTAATAAGCACTCATTTCAACACAGTTATTTTACAAGTTGACTTCCTCATCCTGCACAGATTTCCTTGGAGTCAACACTGATCGGATAACATACAGTATATGTATTCCAGTTTCTAATATCACAGTTCCTAGAATAGAACAGAATAACTTTATTTTTCCCCCCAGAGGAAACTTTATATAAGATTTAGTTTGATTTGTTTATGATGGTTCTTACCAATCTGGAGGTTATAGTCAGTGTAGATATGATTCACCCCAAAGGTGACAACAGCACACCTGTAGTCACCAGCGTCCACTGGCTTTAAATTCCACATCATAACGTCCATCACACCGTTGTATTCTGTTGCGTATACTCTTCCCTTGTAGAAGTCGTTGACATATCCTCTGGTATTCACAACAGGAAATCCCCCAGGATACAGTTTAGAACAGAACTTCTCATAACCATTGTAGAAAGGAGGAAAGACAAATCTCAGCAGAGCTTGTCCATTCACCACCTGTTGTGCTTCTATCTCAGGGTCATCTAGCAAACAAACAAACACTTAGAAATGACATGGCACAAAAACAGCAGATCCCCCATGTGACAAAAATACTAGTTTACTATAGAATATTATACAGTACTTACTATAGGTTTCTAAACTGTAGTATACTATACACTGTAGTATCCCTCGATGTGTAGTGCTTACTACAAAATGTTGTAGTATACAAAAGTATATACTACAGTATTAGCCGCAACAAAAAACACTGTACTGAATACTACAGTAATGTCCGCAAAAACACTGCACTAACTTTGCCCGGTCTCCCCACGGCTCTGCAAACTTCGGAGGCTCTGTTTACACACGTCTTCCGGCACTACGGGGTACCAGAGGATATAGTGTCTGACCGGGGTCCCCAGTTCACCTCCAAGGTCAGGAAGGCGTTCATGGAACGTCTGGAGGTCTCGGCCAGCCTGACCTCTGGGTTCCACCCCGAGAGTAATTGGCAGGTGGAACGGGTAAATCAGGACGTGGGTAGGTTCCTGCGGTCCTACTGCCAGGACCAGCCGGTGTTCTTGCCATGGGCCGAATATGCCCAGAACTCTCTCCGCCACTCCTCCACTAACCTAACGCCTTTCCAGTATATTCTAGGTTACCAACCGGTTCTGGCACGTGGCACCAGAGACAGACCGAGGCTCCTGTGGTGGATGACTGGTTTTGGCGCGCGGAGGAGACGTGGAATGCTGCCCACGTTCACCTCCAACGCGCCGTCAGAAGGCCACCGCTGACCGCCACCGCAGTGAGGCCCCCGTCTTTGAGCTGCGCGTCGGGGGGGTTTCGGCGTTCGGCGTCACGGGTTTACTAGCTACTGCCGATCCATTTATCATCACTCCATTTGTCTTGTCTTCAATCACACACATTTCTAAAAACCTGGTTTTCATGGGGTATTGTGTGTAGATTGATGAGGAAAAACATTTATTGAATCAATTTTAGAATAAGGCTATATAACGTAACAAAATGAGGAAAAAGCCAAGGGGTCTTTATACTTTCCGAATGCCCTGTACCCTGCCCATTCCCCTCCCCCATATCTCATGTTGTGCCACCCATAAGTGAGAAACCTACATGCCAAGTATAGACGATATTGTGTTGCCGACACCTTATAGAAAAGAGCAGAAGCTCTGAGCAGAATCCATTCAGACCAAGTCCTACCTACAGGTTATGGAACATGTGCTCTTTTAAGCCTTTTTTACATTGGCAGTTTGAAGTGACTCAAATCCAAATTTCTGTCATATCTGATTCAAATCTGTTCTTTTCCCTGCAGTCTGAACAGCCAAAAAGCACATGGAATCTATATTCAAGACCATTTCAAACCACGTCCCAAGTGCCTCAAAGGATTCCAATTCGACCTATCAATACAGCTGATTCAATGTTAAATAGATTTTCCCCTCAATTCCGCAAATACCCTAATTGTTCGGAGTAGTCTTTTGGTAAGTCTCTAAGAGCTTTGTACAATATTTGCCATATTCTGAAAAACAAGCTCTGTCAAATGGTGTGATCACTGCTAGACAACCATTTCAAAGTCTTGACAGAGATTTTCAAGTGTTTTAGGTTATTATCCTGCTGAAAGGTGAATTGTTCTCCCAGTGTCTGGTGGAAAGCAGAGTGAACCAGGTTTTCTTCTAGGATTGTGTCAGTGCTTAGCTCTATTACGTAATTTTTTTTAATCCTGAAAAACTTCCTAGTCCTTGCCGATGACAAGCATACCCATAACATGACGCAGCCACCACCATGCTTGAAAATATTTAGTGGTACTCAGTGATGTGTTGTGTTGGATTTTCCCCAAACATAAAGTTCATTTCTTTGCCACATTTCTTGCAGTTTTACTTCGGTGCCTTGTTGCAAACAGGATGCATGTTTTGGAATAATTTTATTCTGTACAGGCTTCCTTCTTATCACTCTGTCATTTAGGTTAGTATTGTGGATTAACTACAATGTTGTTGATCCATCCTCAGTTTTCTCTTACCACAGCCATTAAACTCTGTAACTGTTTTGTGGTCCTCTGTAGCTCAATTGGTAGAGCATGGCGCTTGTAACGCCAGGGTAGTGGGTTCGATCCCCGGGACCACCCATACGTAAAAATGTATGCACACATGACTGTATGTCGCTTTGGATAAAAGCGTCTGCTAAATGGCATATTATTATTATTTTTAAAGTCACCATTGGCCTCATGGTGAAATCCCTGAGCGGTTTCCTTTCTCTCCGGCAACTGAGTTAGGAAGGACGCCTGTATCTTTGTAGTGACTGGGTGTGTTGATACACCATCCAAAGTGTAATTAATAACTTCACCATGCTCAAAGGGATATTCAATGTCTGCTTTTTAATTTTTACCCATCTACCAATAGGTGCCCTTCTTTGCGAGGCATTGGAAAACCTCCCTGGTCTTTGTGGTTGAATCTGTGTTTGAAGGACCTTAGAGCTAATTGTATGTGTGGGGTACAGAGATGAGGTAGTCATTCAAAAATAATCTTAAATACTATTATTGCATACAGAGTGAGTCCATGCAATTTATTATGTGACTGAAGCACATTTTTACTCCTGAACTTATTTAGGCTTGCCATTACAAAAGGGGTTGGATACTTATTGACTCAAGACATTTCAGCTTTTCATTTTAAATTAATCTGTAAACATTTCTAAAAACATAATTCCACTGACATTATGGGGTATTGCGTGTAGGCCAGTGACACAAAATCTCAATTGAATCCATTTTAAATTCAGGCTGTAACACAACAAAATGTGGAAAAAGTCAAGGGGTGTGAATACTTTTTGAAGGCGCTGTACCTAGCTAGCTAGTTGACTGCCTGGGCTAGCCAAAAATAACTATTTTTGAAAGTTGGATTATCTTGTCCTTTCAGGCTTTAACATTGTCCTTACACTATGATTTTGAACATGTAAAGCAACTGGGAAATGTCCATGACAGGCATTGTTGTCACCTTAAGTTGCTACGTACCTTCTGAGTGATAGGAAGCACGAGCACCAATCAGCCTACACCAAAGACCCCCTAGACACACACACACCAGTCGTTACTATGACAATTAGCATAGCCATGTCAGCAAATGACTGCTGTCTGAACACACACATCCGATTTGGCCACTTGTAACATGCTGTTTGGACAGTCAGTAGTCCAAAACAGATTTGACCAAACTGAGATGAGCATTAAGGCCTGAAGTGGGAACAAGGCTTTAGTATTTCTCCAGTAGGTTTCCTGAAGGAGAAAAGCCTCCACTTCTATGACAAAAAATAATAAAAGTAAAACACTACAGTAAATACTACAGTCCGCAAAAAAACACTACAGTGAATACTATATTATTATTATTATTATTATACTATATTATTTATACTATTGCAAACATCTCAAACGAGACAAACCTGGATAAAATCTCACCTAATAGAAGAAGCAAGAGAAAGGTAATCTTCATCTTCAGTGAAATATTCACTGAGGCAGCTGACCCGTACATCCTACTCACCAAAAAAGGGAGTGAAGTGGACAGCTGTTTGACTGCGCAGGCTCTAACTTGCAATTACAAGTTTTCAGAACACTCATTATTGGCTTAGAGAATGAGGATGACGGGTTGTACTGTTGTCATGGTACCAGCTCAGGTATCACGGTTTCAAGTAGTATAATAATACCTCTAGCTGTTAGAGCATTGGGTCAGCAAGGTCGCCGGTTCGAATCCTCGAGTTAACTAGGTGAAACATATGTGGATGTGCCCTTGAGCAAGGCACTTAACCCCAATTGCTCATGTAAATCGCTCTGGATAAGAGCATCTGCTAAATGACTAATATGTAAAATGTAATGATTTATTTGGCATCAGCTTTTAGCTTATTCAGCGATTTTCATTCAAGCAAATCATGGAACAAAATGCTTCATATGCAAAAAGATATGTACATTACCAAATGATTAACCACTCCCTTTAAACTGCAAATCACAATCAACCCTGTAGTCACAGTCATCCGATCCTCCAGAGGCATAGTCTTCACACAGTCCTTTCCTATTCCAAACTAAAAAGGTCCATTGGAAGCTGTGCTTTATTCTAAAACAGAGTCATTTTAATTTCGTCTTGTTGAGGAAACCGCAGATCTTAAATCATTACAGAGGAGGGCTACATACCAAATGGCAACCTGTTCCCTATTTAGTGCACTACTTCTGATCAAGGCTCTGGTCAAAAGTAGTGCACTATGTAGGGAACAGGGTGCCATTTGGGGGCGCACAATAAATCATCCAACCGTGTGTAACTCCAACCGTTCTTTAATGTGCAGCAGCCCCCATGATTAACTTAGAAGCGACGGGGTGCAATGTTTAGAATTTACAAAAGCTTCTGTTTGTATATCTACTTAACAGTGAGAGTTATTCTATTCAACACTGCCAATATGAGTGATAAGTCTACAAGCCACTAAAATCCTCTCTCGTACTGTTCCTATCATCCCAGATATCTGAAGCACGGCAGAGCTCCTAGAGTAGAGCAGTGTGTTCTAGGGGATCGACCTAGGCAAGACCCTGCCCAGATTTGACAATCTTTGATCGCATAATGAGTAGTTGTTTGGGATGATTTTACAAGATGATTTGTAGATCAACGATTCTCTGCAGTCTCGCTCAGGCCAATCGAACCCGCCGGAGGTCACTTGTCCTCGTGGTTCCACCGTGCTAGTCCTGCACTACATACTGTCATCAGGCAGCCAATAGCAGACAGGTCCGCAAACAGCCAATCACAGAGAGCCGTCCCGCCCGACAGAGGTCTCTACTCATCGGTGAAGGTGATGACATCATACTGGATGCCCTGCTGTTGTAGCTGCTCCAGCTGTTCTTGTGTGGCCTCTGTATAAACCGTCTGGGTCTGCTGCAAGGCTGCATCTGCTACCGCTGGAACACACACACACACACACACACACACACACAGAGAGACACAGAAAGAGAGAGACAGAGACAGAGAGAGAGAGAGACAGAGAGAGAGAGAGACAGAGAGAGAGAGAGAGACAGAGAGAAGAGAGACAGAGAGAGAAGAAGAGAAGAGAGAGAGACAGAGAGAGAGACAGAGAGAAGAGACAGAGAGAGAAGAGAGAGACGAGAGAGAGAAGAGAGAGAAGAGAGAGAGAGAGAGAGAGAGAGAGAGAGACAGAGAGAGACAGAGAAAGACAGAGAGAGACAGAAGGTAGTGTTAACCAACTGACAAGAGAATAACCATTTCTCAAGGTTCTCCACCTCCAGTTCTTGAGCGCTTGTGTTCCAGCCCATCCCCTCTAAAACTACTGATTCAAATAATCAACAAATCCTGGTGTTACGTATAGAGACCATGATAACCTGAACCCGGTGTTGCTACAAGGTTGGAAGGACTGAACCAGGTGTTGCTACAAGGTTGGAAGGACTGAACCAGGTGTTACTACAGGGTTGGAAGGACTGAACCAGGTGTTGCTACAAGGTTGGAAGGAAAGCCTGCACACCCAGAAGCTGGCAGGAGTGGAGAACCGCAGCAGAATGTGTGTGAAGCAGACAGTGTAAACATACCGGTGACAGCAGAATGTGTGTGAAGCAGACAGTGTAAACATACCGGTGACAGCAGAATGTGTGTGAAGCAGACAGTGTAAACATACCGGTGACAGCAGAATGTTCAGCAACCTCCAGGTCCTCAGGACTGACTATCTGTTGTTCTGAACTGATGGGAAGATACTGGATCTGCCCGTCATGACTCAGGGCAATCTGCAAAGAGACAGTTTTAAAACAGTTAACAATCGAACATACGTTTTTCAAACAATAGAGTAAGCAATGCACATTCAGTGAGGGAATAAAGTATTTGATCCCCTGCTGATTTTGTACGTTTGCCCACTGACAAAGACATGATCAGTCTATAATTTTAATGGTAGATTTATTTGAACAGTGAGAGACAGAATAACAACAACAAAATCCAGAAAAACGCATGTCAAAAATGTTATAAATTGATTTGCATTTTAATGAGGGAAATAAGAATTTGACCCCTCTGCAAAACATGACTTAGTACTTGGTGGCAAAACCCTTGTTGGCAATCACAGAGGTCAGACTTTTCTTGTAGTTGGCCACCAGGTTTGCACACATCTCAGGAGGGCTTTTGTTCCACTCCTCTTTGCAGATCTTCTCCAAGTCATTAAGGTTTCGAGGCTGACATTTGGCAACTCGAACCTTCAGCTCCCTCCACAGATTTTCTATGTGATTAAGGTCTGGAGACTGGCTAGGCCACTCCAGAAACTTAATGTGCTTCTTCTTGAGCCACTCCTTTGTTGCCTTGGCCGTGTGTTTTGGGTCATTGTCATGCTGGAATACCCATCCACGACCCATTTTCAATGCCCTGGCTGAGGGAAGGAGGTTCTCACCCAAGATTTGACGGTATATGGCCCCGTCCATCGTCCCTTTGATGCGGTGAAGTTGTCCTGTCCCCTTAGCAGAAAAACACCCCCAAAGCATAATGTTTCCACCTCCATGTTTGACGGTGGGGATGGTGTTCTTGGGGTCATAGGCAGCATTCCTCCTCCTCCAAACACGGCAAGTTGAGTTGATGCCAAAGAGCTCGGTTTTGGTCTCATCTGACTACAACACTTTCACCCAGTTCTCCTCTGAATCATTCAGATGTTCATTGGCAAACTTCAGACGGGCCTGTATATGTGCTTTCTTGAGCAGGGGGACCTTGCGGGTGCTGCAGGATTTCAGTCCTTCACGGCGTAGTGGGTTACCAATTGTTTTCTTGGTGACTATGGTCCCAGCTGCCTTGAGATCATTGACAAGATCCTCCCGTGTAGTTCTGGGCTGATTCCTCACCGTTCTCATGATCATTGCAACTCCACGAGGCGAGATCTTGCATGGAGCCCCAGGCCCCAGGGATATTGACAGTTATTTTGTGTTTCTTCCATTTGCGAATAATCGCACCAACTGTTGTCACCTTCTCACCAAGCTGCTTGGCGATGGTCTTGTAGCCCATTCCAGCCTTGTGTAGGTCTACAATCTTGTCCCTGACATCCTTGGAGAGCTCTTTGGTCTTGGCCATGGTGGAGAGTTTGGAATCTGATTGATTGATTGCTTCTGTGGACAGGTGTCTTTTATACAGGTAACACGCTGAGATTAGGAGCACTCCCTTTAAGAGTGTGCTCCTAATCTCAGCTCGTTACCTGTATAAAAGACACCTGGGAGCCAGAAATCTTTCTGATTGAGAGGGGGTCAAATACTTATTTCCCTCATTAAAATGCAAATCAATTAAATAAAAAAAAGGATTTTTTGTTGTTATTCTGTCTCTCACTGTTCAAATAAACCTACCATTAAAATTATAGACTGATCATTTCTTTGTCAGTGGGCAAACGTACAAAATCAGCAGGGGATCAAATACTTTTTTCCCTCACTGTACAGTATACAAGTATTCAGACCCCTTGACTTTTCCACATTTTGTTACGTTATTCTGAAATTGATTAAATCATTTTTTTCACTCAACAATCTACACACAATACCACATAAATGACAAAGCAAAAACAGTTTTTAGAAATGTAAAAAATAAAAATAAAAATTACATTTACATAACTATTCAGACCCTTTACTCAGTACTTTGTTGAAGCACCTTTGGCAGCGATTACAGCCTCGAGTCTTCTTGGGTATGACGCTACAAGCTTGGCACACCTGTATTTGGGGAGTGTCTCCCATTCTTCTCTGCAGATCCTCTCAAGCTCTGTCAGGTTGGATGGGGAGCGTTGCTGCACAGCTATTTTCAGGTCTCTCCAGAGATGTTCGATCGGGTTCAAGTCTGGGCTCTGGCTGAGCCAGTCCCGACGCCACTCCTGCGTTGTCTTGGCTGTGTGCTTAGGGTCGTTGTCCTGTTGGAAGGTGTACCTTCGCCCCAGTCTGAGGTCCTGAGCGCTCTGGAGCAGCTTTTCATCATGGAGTTTGCAACGCCAGGGTTGTGGGTTCGATTCCCACGGGGGGCCAGTATGAAAATGTATGCACTCACTAACTTTAAGTCGCTCTGGATAAGAGCGTCTGCTAAATGACTAAAATGTAATGTAAATGTAAGAATCTCTCTGTACTTTGTTCCGCAAATGTTTCCCTCGATCCTGACTAGTCTCCCAGTGCCTGCCGCTGAAAAACATCCCCACAGCATGATTCTGCCACCACCATGCTTCACCTTAGGGATGGTGCCAGGTTTCCTCCAGATGTGACGGTTGGCATTCAGGCCAAATCCTGTCTCGGAGCTCAACCGACAATTCCTTTGACCGCATGGCTTGGTTTTTGCTCTGACATGCACTGTCAACTGTGGGACTTTATATAGACAGGTGTGTGCCTTTCCAAATCATGTCCAATCAACTGAAATTACCACAGGTGGACTCAAATCAAGTTCTAGAAACATCTCAAGGATGATCAATGGAAACAGGATGCATTTGAACTCAATTTCGAGTCTCATAGCAAAAGGTCTGAATACTTATGTAAATAAGGTAGGTAGGTTTTTTAACACATTTGCAAAAATGTCTAAAAACCTGTTTTCACTTTGTCATTATGGGGTATTGTTTGTAGATTGATGAGGATTTTATTTTAATTCATTTTAAAATAAGGCTGTAACGTAACATGGGAAAAAGTCAAGGGGTCTGAATACTTTCCGAATGCACTGTATAGCACCTTTCCATAGATAATTATACTAAAATACAGTTTTATTCTGGATTTAGTAATTTTGGGATTGAATTTTTTTGGGTGATGGAGTGTTTTTGGGGTCCTCTCTCTCTCACCTGTTGCTCCTGCAGGAAGGCCCCATCATGCTCATACTGGATAATCTGTCCATCTGACATCTGGATGTGGTTCCCGTCTGCTAGCACCACGTACTCCTGAGGAATGAAGTGTTGGACTCCATCCTGAGAGATGATATACTGGACCTGGGAGGGTGAGGGAGGACAATTAGACCTGGGAGGGTGAAGCAGGACAATTAGACCTGGGAGGGTGAAGCAGGACAATTAGACCTGGGAGGGTGAAGCAGGACAATTAGACCTGGGAGGGTGAAGCAGGACAATTAGACCTGGGAGGGTGAAGCAGGACAATTAGACCTGGGAGGGTGAAGCAGGACAATTAGACCTGGGAGGGTGAAGCAGGACAATTAGACCTGGGAGGGTGAAGCAGGACAATTAGACCTGGGAGGGTGAAGCAGGAGAATTACATTGTCACTGTCTGTCCCGTCTATCATACTGTTAAAGTGCATTCGTAAAGTATTCAGTCCCTTTTACTTTTTCCACATTTTGTTAAGTTACAGCCGTATTCTAAAATGGATTAAAACATAAAATAATCCTCATCAATCTACACACAATACCACATAATAAACAGGATGCACCTGAGCTCAATTTCGAGTCTCATAGCAAAGGGTCTGAATACTTACGTAAATAAAGGTATGTTTTTTATTTTTAATACATTTGCAAAAATTTCTAAAAACCTGTTTTTGCTTTGTCATTTTGGGGTATTGTGTGCAGATTGATGAGGATTTTTAAAAAATGGTTTTAATCCATTTTAGAATAAGGCTGTAACGTAACAAAATGTGGAAAAAGTCAAGGGGGTCTGAATACTTTCCGAATGGACTGTAAGTAGTCGTATCTAGTTCCATCTGTAAAGGAATCTACTGTACGTATCTAGCAGAGGAGGCTGGTGGGTGGAGGTAGAGGAGGACGGCCTCGTCGTAATGGCTGGAATGGAAAGGTATGGAACACCATGGAAACCATGGAACACCATGGGAAACCATGTGCCCGTCCTCCTATATCTCCACCTCTGGTATCTCGCTATAGCTCCATCTACAGCCCGCCAGGGGGGTCCAATCTGGCCCGCGGTTGGGTTTGAGTAAAAAAAATTAATAAAGAAAAACATTTGGGGATTTTGAACTCAATAAACTTTAAAAATGACTAAAACCAAATTGAAACTGTTTAAAAATTATAATGGATCTACACATTCATACAGTTTATTGACTGTGTCCAGCTCGATAATAATCACCGAAATGAAAGCTAGACAGTCAGGGAACATTGAAAATACCAAAGGACTGGATAGATGACTTTTTAGCAAATTTTGCCCGCGAGGAAATATAACCGATTTTCAGTGCGGCCTCCTGGACCTCGTTGAAGACCGAATGCGCCCCCCCCGAGGCAAAATGAGTTTGACACCCCTGATCTTCAGTCACCTGGTTGTCTCCTGTCATGTACTGTAACGTCTGTCCGTCCACTGTGGTGATCTGCTGGATGTAAGTGGCCTCCACTTGGTCTTCCAGGCCTTGTTCCTGGGACACTACGATGTGGTCCTGACCCAAGCCTTGTTCCTGGGACACTATGATGTGGTCCTGACCCAAGCCTTGTTCCTGGGAAACTACGATGTGGTCCTGACCCAGGCCTTGTTCCTGGGACACTACGATGTGGTCCTGACCCAAGGCCTGTTGTAGCTGCTCTGGAGTGATGGTCTGTCCTGCCTGCAGAGCTGCTGGAGACACACAAGGACAGAGACAGGTCAGACAATGGGCTAATGCCTACCATACAACAACATTCATGTTAGCATTTCAAACCACCTTTGGGGGGAGCTTGTGTATTGCCCTAGAGGTGTGTGTACAGTATATAAACTGTGTCAGATGGTATGGATGGAGATGGACTTATTCAACCAGTGAAATGATCAGTGTATGCGTGCTAGTGTGGAGGCTCTTGTAGTACATTTTACATTTTTAGTCATTTTGCAGACGCTCTTATCCAGAGCGACTTACAGGAGCAATTAGGGTTAAGTGCCTTGCTCGAGGGCACGTCGACAGATTTTTCACCTGGTCGGCTCGGGGATTAGAACCAGCGACCTTTCGGTTACTGGCACAACGCTCTCAACCACTAAGCTACCTGCCGCCCCGTTGTATGGTTCCTTACACTGTAGCGTGGCGAGAGCCTCCTCATCACTGTTAACTATGACGGTCTGCTGGGAGCCTCCTCCAGAGCGGGTCTTCTTCGTCGGAGGGTCCTGGCTGTGGAGTCGCTCCATATGGAACTTGAGGTGGCCGTTACGGTTAAACCTGATGGGGTAACATGGATATTCACAAAATCAGCCACGGAGTCACCATTCTCTACCCTTTCTGCTCCAAGTGTGCACTTGTTCACTTCCCTCGTGAATTTAAAAGGAAAGGACTGGTGTAAGAAATATGGTGGAACCTTTCTCTAGCCCAGTGGTTCCAAGACCTTTTGGAACCGTGGCACACCTTGATAAAATATTCTGCGGTACACCTAAAATGTCCTCATCTGACACATACTGCAAATCATCAATTTTCTGTAAAAACATAGTTTAAAAAAAAAAAAGATTAAGTAGGGTTTATTTGAACTATTGTCATAGTTTCTTACTCAAGATGATCAATTTGTGTGTACCCCTTTAAGAGCGTCCCGCGAAAATGCAATATAATAAACTTAATATGGGTCATTACTTTTGAACGATTTGGGCTTGAGACGAGCGGTTTTCTGCTTCGTAAAGGTCCAACCATGATGGACATAAAGCCGTGCTCTGTTTGTTTCTATGGCAGAGGCTGTGGTTCAGCTCAGCCTAAACCAGACTTGCCTTTGCTAATGGTTCTCACAGGAAAAGTAAAATGATGCAAATGACTTTGCTGGTGATGCGCGCCCCTCAAATGATACTAATGTAACAACAGCCTCACGTGTGCCTGGCTATTCCAGGGTTGGTTTTCCTTCTATGGGCACTGGTGCTCCCAAATAAAAATGCCGCCATTTATAAGTGAGTGTTCAGATTAGGGAAAGTTTCAGGGCACACCTCATAGTTCCTCGAAGGGACATCAGTGTCATCACTGCTTTAGCCCATGTTTACACCAATCAATGCCTTTGTGTAGGGAGGACTTTGGGTTAAAGAATTTACTTTGATAGAGAATTGCTCCAGTGCACTGTATCTATCTACAATCCCTAATAAAACAAGTTTGGGTCATACCTCTGTCCACAGATCTGGCAGGTGAAGGGCTTCTCGTTGGTATGCGTCATCATGTGCCTCCTCAGGTCCTTCTTGTTCTTGGAGGCGAAGCTGCAGCTTGGACACTTGTGAGGTCTCAGGTAGGCATGCATGCCCATGTGGGTCTGGGAAAAGAATGGGACAACCCTGTGATGACATGCTTTGGAAGCAGTTGTAGGTCACTACTAGGTCAACGCTGCCATTACAGGCTGCCAACGATACATTCAACCTCATCTATGTGGTGACTGTCAAAAGTCTTCCCTCATGCCCCGTCTCCTAGCCTCCCTCGTGCCCCGTCTCCTAGCCTCCCTCGTGCCCCGTCTCCTAGCCTCCCTCGTGCCCCGTCTCCTAGCCTCCCTCGTGCCCCGTCTCCTAGCCTCCCTCGTGCCCCGTCTCCTAGCCTCCCTCGTGCCCCGTCTCCTAGCCTCCCTCGTGCCCAGTCTCCTAGCCTCCCTCGTGCCCAGTCTCCTAGCCTCCCTCGTGCCCCGTCTCCTAGCCTCCCCCTTGCCCCGTCTCCTAGCCTTGAGCCCTCGTGTCCAGTCTCCTAGCCTTGAGCCCTCGTGCCCAGTCTCCTAGCCTTGAGCCCTCGTGCCCAGTCTCCTAGCCTTGAGCCCTCGTGCCCAGTCTCCTAGCCTTGAGCCCTCGTGCCCAGTCTCCTAGCCTCCCTCGTGCCCCGTCTCCTAGCCTCCCTCGTGCCCCGTCTCCTAGCCTCCCTCGTGCCCCGTCTCCTAGCCTCCCTCGTGCCCAGTCTCCTAGCCTCCCTCGTGCCCAGTCTCCTAGTCTCGTTCTGAAAAGGCATTGGAGGAGAACGTTTCATCCCTCAGATATTCTCCTCAAGGAGGCAAGGAAAGAGGATGAGAGAAATCAAGATGATTCACCATGAGATTCAAATGTCTCAGAGCTGATAAAAGATAGTCCCCCCACCTTGACAACTGGCCAGGAGGAGGCAGTGAAGTCACAGTCGGGACATTTAAAGGTGGAGGGGTCGATGTGGGCCCTCTTGTGGTTCTCCATGTCACTGCGGCCATGGAACGACTCCATGCAGATACGACAGGAGAACCTCTTAGGGTTGAGCTGGTTCTGCTGGGGGGAACCCACCATGGAGGGAGAACCTGGGGCCTCACTGCTCAGCTGGAGAAAGAAAGAAAGAAAGAAAGAGCACAAAGATGAGACTTATCAGACAGCAGACTTCTGGGGTGGGGGAACCTGGGGCCTCAGACAGAGGGAGGATGAGACGGCTTTCTGCAGCCTAATACAGGCCATACACTACATGACTTCTAAAATCTTAACAACTTGGACTTGCTCACATTTCCTTGTCCCAAATCTTTCATTCCGTCCATCCTCAACCCCAGGACGTGGGTGCTCCCTAGTTTATCCTGCCCTGCGTTTCTCGGTTGTTATTATCATCAAAAAAGAGACGGCGGCGGAGAATATGGACCAGCCAATGGTTGGGCAGACGAGGACAATATGGACTTTCTATTCTACAGAGTGAATTAGAGGTCATATAAAACGTTTGATATTGAAAAGGCAGCTGTGTTCTCTCCACAGCGCCACCAGTCTGTCTCCCATCCCCTCTGTCCTCACGGTGCGTGTTGTTGTTGTTGTTGTTGTTGCTGCTGCTTTCCTCTTCACCATCATCATTTTGGTCTCACATGCTGAGTGCTCATTGGCTATTGTCAGTAGCCGTTGCCCAATTGCGTCGTAGCACTGTTCAGACTACAAATTGCACAACCAACATTTCTGACATGTCAGAAAATTTCAAAAATCGGGACATCCGACAGGGGTCTGGAGAACGGAACAGCCATCATCGGTGCGTCCTTGACCAGCTCAAACTACGCGAGTTCACAGGATTTCACCCCGATCGTGAAAATGTGTCTGGGACGACAAAAAACGTGGCGAAACCGTACTAATGGCCACTCTGATGACCTCTCAGCCATCGGCTGTTCAACTGAACAGAACCTAAAAGCCACAATCCTGACCACATGGATCAAATGAATAGACAGAGCTATGGATGTGGTGGCTCTCTTTAGGCTTACCTCGACCTGTTGCAGCACCCCGTCTCCTAGCCCGGAGGTCAGGTAGAACTTCTCTCTGTTCTGCTGCAGCACCCCGTCTCCTAGCCCGGAGGTCAGGTAGAACTTCTCTCCGTTCTCTCTGACTATTTCTGTTCCCTCCTCCTCTTCCTCCATGGGCTGGGGACTCCCCTCGCCACTGCTGAAAACACAACAACAACACACACGGGAACACAGTGAAAACAGGGAAGTTCTACCTGAACTTGTCCAATGAGAGCAGAGGTTTTTTGTTTTCCCATTGCCCTACTGAACACAACCCTGGCGAGACCATGGTGTTGTAGCTGACTGATGTGATTGGCTGTACCTGTATTCAGGTCCGGTGCTGTGGATCTCCTCTGTAGCTTGTTCCACCTGTTCCAACACACTGAAGCCTTCTGCCCTCTCGTAGTCCTGGATGGCCACCTGGGTGATCTCTCCATTCTCATTGGTCCCCGCCTCATAACCCTCCTGCACCTCCTGGACCTAATGGATCATTATTTTGGTGATTTAACATTTTGATTGTTTTTCACACCAACACAAAAATGAACACCAACAAACAGAACAGACAACAAACCCAGTGAACACCACACAACGTCATCTAGAAGTAAAGGTCCAGCCCATTATAAATGAAACACTAAAAACAAACTGCAGCAAATATACAATAATATATCATAATAATAGTATTTCATAATATCATAATAATAATAATAATAATATCATAATAATAAATAATATATCATAATAATAGTATATCATAACAGATCATAATAAGATAATAATTTATCATAATAATAGAATATCATTATAATAGTATATCATAATATATAATAATAGTATATAATAATAATAGTATATAATAATAATAATAAATCATAATCATAGTATATAATAAATCATAATAATAGTATATCATAATATATCATAATAATAGTATATCATAATAATAGTATATCATAATATATCATAATAGTAGTATATCATAATAAATCATAATAATAGTATATCATAATATATCATAATAATAGTATATCATAATATATCATAATAATAGTATATCATAATAATAGTATACAATAATATATCCTAATAATAGTATATAATATATATCGTAATAATATATTCCATATATGTACCTCCTGTACCAGGGTCTCGCCAGTCTCAGACACGTGAAAGGTCACAACTTTTTGCCCCCCCCCCGTCGCCGAGGTAACGCCCGTCCAGGAGCCTGCTTCTAGAACCTTTGAGTCAGACGACTTCAACACCTGTACCTGAGGTGACAGACAGACAGGCTGCTCATAGACAGAAACTAGATGTATTCCTACTCATGCAGACCATAGCATGTCTCTACTGTTCCTTACGTGGATAGATAAACTAAGCATGGATAGGTCAGATAGAGGGCAAGATAGAACCTTGTCAGGATGTAAAACCAAAGCTTTGGGCCTTTTACCTGCAGTGAGTTTCCCACCAGCTCTCTGGCGTTGCTCATATTCAACAGCAGATCCAGAGCATTCTGGGCTGACAGGTCTGAGTTCCCGGCTGTGGAGACGGAGAGAGACAGTCTCAGTCATGGTTCAGTCATGCCTTACACTCAATATAATATACATTATATGCAAATGTTCCTATTGGGTTTGGTGGTGATCAACGGACCAATTTCTGCTGAGACAATACATTTATATTGAGCCATAAAAAGGCATGTCTTTTTTCATCCATGTAATTTTTGTCTGTCCTTTGTATGGCAGGAATCACTGACCCTGTTCGTAGATGATGGTGGTGTTTCCCATTGCATCTTGGGAGACTGAGGCGTTCTGCATTGTCTGCATGGCTTGTAGTGTTTCAGGATCCACTGCCAGCTAACACATGGGAAAAAACAGTCACAGGCCTGCAGCTTTACTAATTCAGAACCTGCAGCTTTACCAATTCAGAACGTTACCAATTCAGAACCTGCAGATTTTTCTAATTCAGAACATTCAGCTTTTCTCATTCTAATGCATAGAAATACAAGTATGGCCCTTCAAGCCTGTTTCCAGATCAGTTTGTGATTTTACATTTACATTTTAGTCATTTAGCAGACGCTCTTATCCAGAGCGACTTACAGTTAGTGAGTCGAACCCACAACCCTGGCGTTGCAAGCGTCATGCTCTACCAACTGAGCTACAAGGGGGGACATGTGATGTCTTTCCAACTGCTATGGTCATTGTCATGCCACAGATCTGTCATGCCAGAGATCATGGGAGTTGGCTAATCAACTCTAACAGATCTGGGACCAGGCTATGCCTCTAAATCAACCCTAACAGATCTGGGACCAGGCTATGCCTCTAAATCAACCCTAACAGATCTGGGACCAGGCTATGCCTCTAAATCAACCCTAACAGATCTGGGACCAGGCTATGCCTCTAAATCAACCCTAACAGATCTGGAACCAGGCTCTCTAGACATACGATGGTGTTCTGTAGGCCCGGTGTGTCGTCGTGTTGCTGTTTGAGTTCCTCTATCTGCTGCAGGGTGAAGAAGGGTCTCCTCCTTCGTCTGACGGGTTCCTCGGGGTGAGTAGCGCTCCAGTCCTCAAACGCCTCCGGGTGGCGACACTGGACGTGCAGACGCAGGTTCTTACGGTGCTTCGTCATGAAGTGGCACATCTCACAGGAGAACGGTTTCTCTCCTGGGAGGAAGAAATATTCACACATTAAAAAACACACGTTAGCCACGGAGAGGCTCAGGGTCAGTCTCAGTGCAACGCCCCTGGATGGAGACCAATTAAGGGGTTGAGTGCCGGGTACAATGGCTGGAGAGCAGAGACCAGCAGTTCAGTTCCCACTTTGTACGCCAGGCCCGCAGTTTGAACCACCAACCTCTCGGCTACTGCTCTGTCTCGCTAACCTCTCTCGGCTACCTACTGTCCCAACTGTCACCAAATCATTGGTGACTCACCTGTGTGTTTGATGGCCAGGTGTGAGACCAGGAAGTCCTCTTTAGAGGTGGAGTATTTACAGTAGTCACATTTAAAGGGCCGGTCGTTGGTGTGGGACAGCTGGTGGTTGAGCAGGAGTTTCTTGTTGTCACAGTCGTAGTCACAGAACTCACACTTGAACCTAGAACAGAAACATGCATTAGATCGCAGGTCTTGAATCTAAACATGTCGACTGGGTCGTGTACGGCAGGAGTAAAGGTTTTGAAACAGGGTGAAATCGAGGTACTAGCTGAGTTTTCTTTCACGGTACAAATTGTTTTTGCTCCAGTGTGTACTGAGCCCCACCTTAGCCTCTTCGCAGAACATAACCCTAGTCAGTCCTGGGAGGCAATGTTCTGCTAAGAGGCTATATTCTGCTAAGAGGCACAGTGAAAATGGCACTACATCCTGTACTGACCTGCTGTTGTCCACACTCTGGATGTGTGTGAGGAGATGCATCTTGAACGTATATCTCTTCTTGAAGGACTTCCCACACTGAAGTCAAAGCAAATACAGAGATTTATAAAGATTTAAAAAGAAAACTAGAAACATGATTGATTTGAGTGGATTATTGGAATGGTTAATGATGACAGTGATTAACCATTCCAATAATACACAGGTCTCCTCATTCACATTTAAGAAATCGTTGATTGGCAATTAATAATTAAGATTAATTAATTTAATTGACTTTCTTGTACGTGTGTCTCAGTGCTGTTACCTTGTCACACATGTGTGGTTTCTCGGTACTGTGTGTCTTCATGTGCTGAGTGAGTCTCTTCTGCATGGGATAGACTCTGTGGCACACTGGACACGGGAACGACAACACCTTAGATACCTGCTGAGAGTCAGACAGACCACATTGGAACAACACCTTAGATACCTGCTGAGAGTCAGACAGACCACATTGGAACAACACCTTAGATACCTGCTGAGAGTCAGACAGACCACATTGGAACAACACCTTAGATACCTGCTGAGAGTCAGACAGACCACATTGGAACAACACCTTAGATACCTGCTGAGAGTCAGACAGACCACATTGGAACAACACCTTAGATACCTGCTGAGAGTCAGACAGACCACATTGGAACAACACCTTAGATACCTGCTGAGAGTCAGACAGACCACATTGGAACAACACCTTAGATACCTGCTGAGAGTCAGACAGACCACATTGGACATGGGAACAACAGCTTAGTAGGGTTGGGCGATGTCAACCTTTGTCCTATCGTGATTATGTACCCAGAAATATTGTGATATACGATTCTATTGCCCCTATTGGTCACCCCCCCCAAAAAAACTCAAACTAAAATGACAGTTGGGCTATAATGCAAAATCGAATGCAACTGGACGAATCATGACGAAATATGTTTTTTTTAAAGCCTGGCAAGTGCAAGCAATGGCAAACCTTTTCTAATAACTCTTTCTGGAGGAGGAGCAGAACAGGTGTGTCTGTATTTTACATTTACGTCATTTAGCAGACACTCTTATCCAGAGCGACTTACATTATTCTTTATTTTAAAAAAAATTCATACTGCCCCCCCGTGGGAAACGAACCCACAACCCTGGCGTTGCAAACGCCATGCTCTACCAACTGAGCTACCTCCCTGCCGGCCATTCCCTCCCCTACCCTGGACGATGCTGGGCCAATTGTGCGCCGCCCCATTGGTCTCCCGGTTGCGACCGGCTACATCAGAGCCTGGATACGAACCAGGATCTCTAGTGGCACAGCTAGCACTGCGATGCAGTGCCTTAGACCACTGCGCCACTCGGGAGACACATGTATGGCACCCACATGATGGCACCCACATGATGGAACAGTCTGTCTTACCGTAGTGAGCTAGGTTATAGGACTACATCATGATGGAGTAGTGACTGTGATGAGGAACGGTCTGTCTTACCGTAGTGAGCTAGGTTATAGGACTACATCATGATGGAGCAGTGACTGTCTGATGAGGAACGGGTTGTCTTACCGTAGTGAGCTAGGTTATAGGACTACATCATGATGGAGCAGTGACTGTCTGATGAGGAACGGGCTGTCTTACCGTAGTGAGCTAGGTTATAGGACTACATCATGATGGAGTAGTGACTGTCTGATGAGGAACGGTCTGTCTTACCGTAGTGAGCTAGGTTATAGGACTACATCATGATGGAGCAGTGACTGTCTGATGAGGAACGGGTTGTCTTACCGTAGTGAGCTAGGTTATAGGACTACATCATGATGGAGTAGTGACTGTCTGATGAGGAACGGTCTGTCTTACCGTAGTGAGCTAGGTTATAGGACTACATCATGATGGAGCAGTGACTGTCTGATGAGGAACGGTCTGTCTTACCGTAGTGAGCTAGGTTATAGGACTACATCATGATGGAGCAGTGACTGTCTGATGAGGAACGGTCTGTCTTACCGTAGTGAGCTAGGTTATAGGACTACATCATGATGGAGCAGTGACTGTCTGATGAGGTCTGTCTTACCGTAGTGAGCTAGGTTATAGGACTAAATCATGATGAGCAGTGACTGTCTGATGAGGAAGGGTTGTCTTACCGTAGTGAGCTAGGTTATAGGACTACATCATGATGGAGCAGTGACTGTCTGATGAGGAACGGTCTTGTCTTACCGTAGCGACATCATAGGCTGGAAATAAGCAGTCTACCATCTTCACAACTGGATAATAATTGCTTTACTTGCCTCATAAAATAATAGAAAAATAAATAATATTGTTTGTTCGATCTATCATAAAGCTGTGTTTGAGAATAGCCTACGCCTAGCTTTGTTCTTGTTGTTTTTGAAAGCCACAACCTTAGGACAACACCCTCGTAGGCTAGAATATTTGGGAAATAAGCTACTGTTGATAACTTTAGCTTGTATTAAATATTTAATGACAGGCCAGTAGGACGGATGAGGATGGGTTATGGGTCATTTGGTTTTCAACCTCGCATGCGATGACTTTTCCGGCGCCCATATGGATAATTACTTCCTTAAAAAGGCCTAAACTTAAAGTTCCTTTATGCTATTGATATAGTTGGTTATTTTATAAGGGATGATCCACAGGGGGCCAGTATGAAAGATGTATGCACTCACTACCTGTAAGTCGCTCTGGATAAGAGCGTCTGCTAAATGACTATAAAATGTCAATTGGATCACAAAAATAAAGAATGATCTGGATAGAAAAGGCCTCACTATGGTAATTTAACATTTATTGATAAAAGGGGAAAATACTTACTGACTCAGACTTTGTTTTCCTGTGAAAGGAAGAAAAATATGTTAGGGGATCTAATGATTGATTGATTAATTGATTGATCAAACTTTATTTGTTTTTTTTAGATCGAGTTGATCAATCTCAAATCTAAAACACCAGTAAAAGCTTAATGTGCCATGCACTGTGGGTCTGGCACTGTGAGTTGTGTACTGTATGTCTGGTACTGTGAGTTGTGTACTGTAGGTCTGGTACTGTGAGTTGTGTACTGTAGGTCTGGTACTGTGAGTTGTGTACTGTATGTCTGGTACTGTGAGTTGTGTACTGTGAGTTGTGCACTGTAGGTCTGGTACTGTGAGTTGTGTACTATATGTCTGGTACTGTATGTCTGGTACTGTGAGTTGTGTACTGTAGGTCTGGTACTGTGAGTTGTGCACTGTAGGTCTGGTACTGTGAGTTGTGTACTGTGAGTTGTGTACTATATGTCTGGTACTGTAGGTCTGGTACTGTGAGTTGTGTACTGTGAGTTGTGTACTGTAGGTCTGGTACTGTGAGTTGTGTACTGTGAGTTGTGTACTATATGTCTGGTACTGTATGTCTGGTACTGTGAGTTGTGTACTGTAGGTCTGGTACTGTGAGTTGTGTACTGTAGGTCTGGTACTGTGAGTTGTGTACTGTGAGTTGTGTACTATATGTCTGGTACTGTATGTCTGGTACTGTGAGTTGTGTACTGTAGGTCTGGTACTGTGAGTTGTGTACTGTAGGTCTGGTACTGTGAGTTGTGCACTGTAGGTCTGGTACTGTGAGTTGTGTACTGTGAGTTGTGTACTATATGTCTGGTACTGTAGGTCTGGTACTGTGAGTTGTGTACTGTGAGTTGTGTACTGTATGTCTGGTACTGTGAGTTGTGTACTGTAGGTCTGGTACTGTGAGTTGTGTACTGTAGGTCTGGTACTGTGAGTTGTGTACTGTAGGTCTGGTACTGTGAGTTGTGTACTGTAGGTCTGGTACTGTGAGTTGTGTACTGTAGGTCTGGTACTGTGAGTTGTGTACTGTATGTCTGGTACTGTGAGTTGTGTACTGTGAGTTGTACACTGTATGTCTGGTACTGTGAGTTGTGTACTGTAGGTCTGGTACTGTGAGTTGTGTACTGTGAGTTGTGTACTGTAGGTCTGGTACTGTGAGTTGTGTACTATATGTCTGGTACTGTGAGTTGTGTACTATATGTCTGGTACTGTATGTCTGGTACTGTGAGTTGTGTACTGTGAGCATTGCAACGTATGGTCTGGTACTGTGGCGTTGTGTACTGTAAGTCTGGTACTGTAGTTGTGTAACTGTAGGGTCTGGTACTGTAAATGTCTGGTACTGTGATTGTGTACTGTGAGTTGTGTACTGTGAGTTTGTGTACTGTGAAGAAGCTGCACTGTAGTCTGGTACGGTGAGTTGTGTACTGTAGGTCTGGTACTGTATGTCTGGTACTGTGAGTTGTGTACTGTATGTCTGGTACTGTGAGTTGTGCACTGTAGGTCTGGTACTGTGAGTTGTGTACTGTGAGTTGTGTACTGTGAGTTGTGTACTGTATGTCTGGTACTGTGAGTTTGCACTGTAGGTCTGGTACTGTGAGTGTGTGGAGCTCACAGGGGAATGTCACACATGGTGGCAGGAAATAACATACTGCTCCTTGTTGTGCATTGCAGAGTGTCTGATGACATCGTGTGTGTGTGTGTGTGTGCGTGTGTGTGCGCACACATACTTGTTCTTGTTGTGTATTGCGGAGTGTCTGATGACATCCTTCTTATACACACTGCTGTAGTCACACTCCTCACACTTAAAGGGCTTGTTCCCCTGGTGGTTGAACATGTGTTCCTGTTAACACAGCAGAGACCACAGGCTCTTATCATTCCCACGGTGGTTATTACAGACAGTACAGGGAACAGACCAGGCCTGAGACACGAGAGAACAACTGAAGACTGATTCAATGATTGATTGAAGAAGCAGTGTAATTATTTAGCAATAAAAGACTAAATGACCTGCTGAAGTCTACACACCTCTTGCAGTTGTCACATTTTGCTGCCTTAAAAAAGTATAGAAAATGTTCTAAATTAATACAAAAATGAAGATGTCTTGATTGCGTATGTCAGGGTTTCCCAACTGGCGGCCGGCGGGTGGCTTCATTTGGCCCCCAAGTTCCTATTGCATTATTATTGTTGGACAATAGCCAGTAAAAACACCTGGAAATCAGCTCCAAGTGATTTTACTGTACAGTGAGGAGAAAAAAGTATTTGATCCCCTGCTGATTTTGTACGTTTGCCCACTGACAAAGAAATGATCAGTCTATAATTTTAATGGTAGGTTTATTTGAACAGTGAGAGACAGAATATCAACAAAAAAATCCAGAAAAACACATGTCAAAAATGTTATACATTGATTTGCATTGTATTGAGGGAAATAAGTATTTGACCCCCTCTCAATCAGAAAGATTTCTGGCTCCCAGGTGTCTTTTATACAGGTAACGAGCTGAGATTAGGAGCACACTCTTAAAGGGATTGCTCCTAATCGCAGTTTGTTACCTGTATAAAAGACACCTGTCCACAGAAGCAATCAATCAATCAGATTCCAAACTCTCCACCATGGCCAAGACCAAAGAGCTCTCCAAGGATGTCAGGGACAAGATTGTAGACCCACACAAGGCTGGAATGGGCTACAAGACCATTGCCAAGCAGCTTGGTCAGAAGGTGACAACAGTTGGTGCGATTATTCGCAAATGCAAGAAACACAAAATAACTGTCAATCTCCCACTGCCTGGGGCTCCATGCAAGATCTCACCTCGTGGAGTTGCAATGATCATGAGAACGGTGAGGAATCAGCCCAGAACTACACGGGAGGATCTTGTCAATGATCAAGGCAGCTGGGACCATAGTCACCAAGAAAACAAATGGTAATACACTACGCCGTGAAGGACTGAAATCCTGCAGCGTCCGCAAGCTCCCCCTGCTCAAGAAAGCACATATACAGGCCCGTCTGAAGTTTGCCAATGAACATCTGAATGATTCAGAGGAGAACTGGGTGAAAGTGTTGTGGTCAGATGAGACCAAAATCGAGCTCTTTGGCATCAACTCAACTCGCCATGTTTGGAGGAGGAGGAATGCTGCCTATGACCCCAAGAACACCATCCCCACCGTCAAACATGGAGGTGGAAACATTATGCTTTGGGGGTGTTTTTCTGCTAAGGGGACAGGACAACTTCACCGCATCAAAGGGATGATGGACGGGCCCATGTACCGTCAAATCTTGGGTGAGAACCTCCTTCCCTCAGCCAGGGCATTGAAAATGGGTCGTGGATGGGTATTCCAGCATGACAATGATCCAAAACACACGGCCAAGGCAACAAAGGAGTGGCTCAAGAAGAAGCACATTAAGGTCCTGGAGTGGCCTAGCCAGTCTCCAGACCTTAATCCCATAGAAAATCTGTGGAGGGAGCTGAAGGTTCGAGTTGCCAAACGTCAGCCTCGAAACCTTAATGACTTGGAGAAGATCTGCAAAGAGGAGTGGGACAAAATCCCTCCTGAGATGTGAGCAAACCTGGTGGCCAACTACAAGAAACGTCTGACCTCTGATTGCCAACAAGGGTTTTGCCACCAAGTACTAAGTCATGTTTTGCAGAGGGGTCAAATACTTATTTCCCTCATTAAAATGCAAATCAATATAACATTTTTGACATGCGTTTTTCTGGATTTTTTTGTTCTTATTCTGTCTCTCACTGTTCAAATAAACCTACCATTAAAATTATAGACTGATCATGTCTTTGTCAGTGGGCAAACTTACAAAAATCAGCAGGGGATCAAATACTTTTTTCCCCTCACTGTATATACAAATGTAAGAAAGGTTTGAAATGATTATGTTTTAGTCAAATATGATCTGTTTGGGCTTCTTATGGTCAATTTGCAGCCAACAAATTATTTGTAATTATGTTCCGGCCCCCCGACAAAAAAATAAAAATACAATAAAATAAAATTGACCTGTGGCGGAATCTAGCTGATGATACCTAGTGTATGTCTTCACACCCCAGAGTTAATACTCGGTGGAAGCACGTTTGGCAGCCATTACAGCTGTAAATCATTTTGAATAGGAATTTTTTTTTTTTATCATTCATGGACAGCAATATTCAAACTGTGTCTGATTTTCAAACTGATTTAAAGTAAGGACCACTCTGGTACACTCAACACCTCCCCGAAAGCCATTCTGCTGTGTCTTTGGCATTAACATTTGTGTAATTGTCCCACAAAAATTATTATTTTTAAAAAAAAGTTCGGTTTTGCGCAAAGCTTTCCATGGACTTTGCTCCTTTCATATTTATTTTGATCCTGACAAACTCCCCAGTTCATGCCGGTGACAAGCATACCCATAACATGTATTTATTTGCACCAAAGAAAACAAAGTGATAGACAACAATACAGATAAAAAATTAATTAAAACAAACAAACAAAAAACGGTGTGCAGGTTGGAAGCCCAAGGGCTTATATGAAAACCACACTACAAAGAAAAACAATATACAATACATAAGTACAAAACTAAAAAAGGTTTGTTAAAACAGACAAAAGCTACTAATTATAAATGAATTGATCAGTAATTACTGTGTGTGAGAGTTAGGCTATATGGAGGAGATCACTGAGTAGTTTGGTTAAATCAGGCTGACCCCCAGTCTTCATGGAGGAGATTACGGAGTAGTTTGGTTCATCAGGCTGACCCCCAGTCTTCATGGAGGAGATTACTGAGTAGTTTGGTTCATCAGGCTGACCCCCAGTCTTCATGGAGGAGATTACTGAGTAGTTTGGTTCATCAGGCTGACCCCCAGTCTTCATGGAGGAGATTACTGAGTAGTTTGGTTCATCAGGCTGACCCCCAGTCTTCATGGAGGAGATTACTGAGTAGTTTGGTTCATCAGGCTGACCCCCAGTCTTCATGGAGGAGATTACTGAGTAGTTTGGTTCATCAGGCTGACCCCCAGTCTTCACTTGAAGTTATTGAGGGATGATGATGTTTTGGCAATGTGAAGATTAGAATGCCAGAGTATGGTATGTCTGTATCTGATAGTGAATAATAATAATAATAATAATAATAATAATAATAATAATAATAATAATAATAATAATAATAAGCCATTTAGCAGACGCTTTTATCCACAGCGACTTACAGTCATGTGTGCATACATTTTTACGTAGGGGTGGTCCCGGGGATCGAACCCACTACCCTGGCGTTACAAGCGCCATGCTCTACCAATTGAGCTACAGAGGACCACAAACACCCCAGAAATCCATTTTAATTTGAGGTTGTAAGGCAACAAAATAGGAAAAATGTCAAGGGGGGTGAATACTTTCGCAAGCCAAAGCGACTATGTGAGGTGCGGAGGTGGGGAGGGTGAAGGTTATCGTTGTGTTATATAGATGGATTTCAGAAATAACCTGGAAGAATCCATTGAAGGGTATAGGTAAACTGTCTGGGAGGTATGTTTATCATAAACATACAGTGGCTTGCGAAAGTATTCACCCCCCTTGAAATTTTTCCTATTTTGTTGCCTTACAACCTCGAATTAAAATGGATTTTTGGGGGGGTTTGTATCATTTGATTTACACAACATGCCTACCACTTTTTCTTATGAAACAAACAAGAAATAAGACAAAAAAACAGAAAACTTGAGTGTGCATAACTATGCATTTTCCTTGATGACCAAAAAGCTCAATTTTTGTCTCATCTGACCAGAGTACCTTCTTCCATATGTTTGGGGAGTCTCCAACATGCCTTTTGGCGAACACTTTTTTCTGGCCACTCTTCCGTAAAGCCCAGCTCTGTGGAGTGTACGGCTTAAAGTGGTCCTATGGACAGATCCTCCAATCTCCGCTGTGGAGCTTTGCAGCTCCTTCAGGGTTATCTTTGGTCTCTTTGTTGCCTCTCTGATTAATGCCCTCCTTGCCTGGTCCGTGAGTTTTGGTGGGCGGCCCTCTCTTGGCAGGTTTGTTGTGGTGCCATATTCTTTCCATTTTTTTAATAATGGATTTAAATGGTGCTCTGTGGGATGTTCAAAGTTTCTGATATTTTTTTATAATCCAACCCTGATCTGTACTTCTCCACAACTTTGTCCCTGACCTGTTTGGAGAGCTCCTTGGTCTTCATGGTGCCGCTTGCTTGGTGGTGCCCCTTGCTTAGTGGTGTTGCAGACTCTGGGGCCTTTCAGAACAGGTGTATATATACCGAGAGCATGTGACAGATCATGTGACACTTAAATAAAGTCCACCTGTGTGCAATCTAACTAATTATGTGACTTCTGAAGGTAATTGGTTGCACCAGATCTTATTTAGGGGCTTCATAGCAAAGGGGGTGAATACACCACTTTTCCATTATTTATTTGTTTTGTTTCAAAAAATTCAGTTATTTTTTTCATTTCACTTCACCAATTTGGACTATTTTGTGTATGTCCATTACATGAAATCCAAATAAAAATCCATTTAAATTACAGGTTGTAATGCAACAAAATAGGCAAAATGCCAAGGGGATGAATACTTTTGCAAGACACTGTAACTACATAGCCAATTACATGTATAACCGTAATAATGCAATTTAGATATTTAATAATAATAATATTTCATGATCAACCATGTCAAACGCTTTGGACAATAATTGAAAATATAAAAAGGGATCAACAACATTGCATTCACTCCACATAAAATCTAATAAAATATTATTTTTCACATACTTCGTAAACAACAGGTGTAGACTAACAGTGAAATGCTTACTTACGGGTCCTTTTACAACAATGCAGAATTAAGATCAAAGATACAAACATCTTATTTAAAAAATTGAAATAGTTATACGAGAAATAACGAATACCAATAAGGAGTAAAATTAACATGGCTATATACAGGGAGTACCAGTACCAAGCTGATGTGAAAAGAAGGAAGCCTGCATTAAAACAAAAAACATAATCAAATCATCCATTATGTTTGCAACAAGGCCCTTATGTAATACTGCAAGACAACATGGCAAATAAATTCACATTTTGGCTTAAAATAAATCCAATCCAACACATCACAGAGTGAAACCCTCTGTATTTCCATGTAATGTGGTGGCAGCATCATGACTGGGGAGTTTATCAGGATTAAAATAAATATGAAAGGAGCAAAGCCCATGTAAAAAGTTAGAGGAAAACCTGCCTCAGTCTTTTGAAAACCTAACCCTGGGATAGAGTTTTATTTCACAGTGGGACAATTATACACATTTTAATGCCAAAGACACACCAGAATGGCTTTCCAAGAGGTGTTGAGTGTTCCTGAATGGCCCAGTCTTAGTACTGACTTAAATCTGCTTGAGAATCAGAGACAAGGTTTGAATATTGCTGTCCATCAATGATTCCCAACCAAATGTACTGAGCTTGAGCGATTTAGACAAAAACAATGGATAATATGTAGCCCTAAGACTTGGTAGAATCTTATTCAAAATGACTACCAGCTGCAATCGCTGCCAAAGGTGCTTCTAACTTAATACTAAAAATACTTAAAAATTTAAAATAAAATAAACTTTTTCTTTCACTTTGAAAATGTGGACCAGGTTGTGTAGATCTGTAGGGTAAAACAATCCAATTGAATCCCTTTAGACTTAATTTTATGGCAGCAAAATATGACAACTGTGCAAGGGGTGTGTAGACTTTCAATAGGCACTGTACGACTGACCGTCTGACTGACTGACTGGCTGGCTGGCTGACCGACTGACTGGCTGACCGGCCGACTGGCTGGCTGACCGACTGGCTGGCTGACCGACTGGCTGGCTGACCGACTGACTGGCTGACCGTCTGGCTGGCTGACTGACTGGCTGACCGTCTGACTGGCTGGCTGACCGACCGGCTGACCGACCGTCTGACCGACCGACTGGCTGACCGTCTGGCTGACTGACCGGCTGACCGACCGGCTGACCGACCGTCTGACTGGCCTGTATGACCCGGCCCACTCACCTTGAGCGAGGACCATCGTTTGCAGCGGTAGTTACACTGCAGGCATTTGAAGCACTCTGGGTCGTTTCCTTGGTGAGAGTCTACGTGGAACCTCAGGTCCTCCTGGGACAGGAAGCGAGAGCCGCAGATCCAACAGTTGTGAGGCCTCAGGAGCGGCTTCAGAGACTTACAGTACCTAACAGAACAGACAGGGAGGAGGTTAGGGAGAAGTTTGCTGAAAGCTTCATAGCTCATACAGTACTTTATTTCTCTGGACGACCCACAGAAGACTGACAGCCTTATAATACCATCTAGAGGATGCAGGGGAGGAGGTAGTCATGGTTTGGTTGCGAGAGTTCTTTCTGCAGATAAATCATTTACAGAATGATATACCTTTTTCACACTACAGAGCAATGCTGTGGTACCTGTACTGCATGGACTGGTTATGCATCCATCACATCTGCTGGAACAATGCTGGAAAGGACAATTTGAAAAGAAAATATCCTTGCCAGCACACTTCCAGTACAGTTGGAGCCCTCCCAATACTTCAAAAAGGGTATATCGCTGTTGAAAGTATTCAGTGAGAAACGGTAGTCTGCTCCAGGTGTCAGTAATAATATGAAACCGGGTCGTACTTGCGGTTCATGTACTTCTTGTATTTCTTTCTGATGAACCGCTTGGAGGGTCGACCCCGTTTCCTGGGGAAAAGCTCAGCCTCTTCCGGCCTCCCATTGGACGACGGGTCTTTGTTCTCAGAGTCCGATTGGCTGATGCCGGCTTCTGCTGTGTTTCCATTAGCCAAGGGAGCTGGTCCGTTTCCCAGGCCTGAGGAACTGGCCTCCTCCGAGCCTTGAGGGTCCACACTGCCCTTAGGCTTTGACATCCCGTCTTCTGCTGCTTCTGTATACATCCAAAACAAGAAGTTCATGCCCTGATTAACAAACCTATTGAATAACAGCTAAGATCATTCAAATGAAAGACACACAGCATTCTCTTCATGCAGTTGGATTCCCACCAGCTTTTCAGCTAGAAAGCGTTCACTTTACAATGGACAGATTATTCAGGAAAAACAGAGGTGGCGAGTATTGTGCAGTATATGATACCCACCCTTGCCGTTGTAGCTGCCCTCTGTATAGGTGAACTTCCTGGGTCGTCCCACCCTGCGTCTGGGGCGGTCTGTGGAGGAGGAGGAGCAGGGAGGTGGGACAGGCTGTTTCAGCAAGGCGGGCTGTCTGCCCCTACAGTCCTCATCTGCTGGGTTATAGTCACTGTCCTCTGGAGAGAGAAAAGGGGGAGAGAGTGAGTGTGTGAATCCCAAATCGACTGCTAATCCCTACACCCAGGTGGCAGATCTGAGAGGGTTGGATATTTTTAATAATATAATATGCCATTTAGCAGACGCTTTTATCCAAAGCGACTTACAGTCATGCGTGCATACATTTTTTTTTTGTGTATGGGTGGTCCCGGGGATCGAACCCACTACCTTGGCGTTACAAGCGCCGTGCTCTACCAGCTGAGCTACAGAGGACCACGATATAGGGCTGTACTGCAGTCTGTTGTACTACAGAGTACTGCAGTCTGTTATACTACAGAGTACTGCAGTCTGTTATACTACAGAGTACTGCAGTCTGTTATACTACAGAGTACTGCAGTCTGTTATACTACAGAGTACTGCAGTCGTTATACTACAGAGTACTGCAGTATGTTATACTACAGAGTACTGCAGTCGGTTATACTACAGAGTACTGCAGTCTGTTATACTACAGAGTACTGCAGTCTGTTATACTACAGAGTACTGCAGTCTGTTATACTACAGAGTACTGCAGTCTGTTATACTACAGAGTACTGCAGTCTGTTATACTACAGAGTACTGCAGTCTGTTATACTACAGAGTACTGCAGTCTGTTATACTACAGAGTACTGCAGTCGGTTATACTACAGAGTACTGCAGTCGGTTATACTACAGAGTACTGCAGTCTGTTATACTACAGAGTACTGCAGTCTGTTATACTACAGAGTACTGCAGTCTGTTATACTACACAGTACTGTAGTTAGGGCTGTGGCGGTCATGAACATTTGTCAGCCGGTTATTGTCATGCAAAATACTGCCGGTCTCACGGGTAATTACCATGAATTAACATAAACACGTTTAGCATCTCCAGGCCTCCACACATACAAGCCTCTGATGCCTCTGGAACATCTGCATTTAGAAAAGTCTAATAAATCAATGTAATACACAACACCACAATAAATCCGTTATTTATTTTAGGCAGGTCTAAAGAAACATGATATGAAGAAAATGCATTTCAGGAGAACAGAATATGACTTGGCCATGCCTATGTTATCTGGCTATGCTCCATGCCATAGGCTGTAGGCTAGTTCATTTAGCTGACAAGATATGCTTATAAGTGGCATTATTTTATATTAATATGATTTTATAGTAAGAAGAATATAAATGTAACTTAGCTGAATAAAATAGAAAGGATATTTTTCCCATTCCGGAGCGAGTGCACATATGAAGTGGCTATGTTGAGCGTAAAAGTGATCATTTGAAACAGGTCCTACCAGCTAGATTTAGAGTTATTTGGCAACTTTAGTTGTGGAATGATACAAACCTTAGAATGTCTTAGAAATCAAAACATATGTGGGCTGCATGATGCGACTACAGGATACTGATGATTTGAAAAAGCTTGCGCTCTGTTCCTTGCCTCAGGCTGCACACGCTGTTCTCTCATCAAGTGATCATATATTTTCACCTATCAGACTATTCTCAATGTAATATTTTCTTTACTAATATGTCAAATTTGTTTCGATTTAGAATGGCCCATTATCAAAATGGCCAGGAACAGGGTCAAGACAAAAAAAAAAGACGTAATCCGTATGCACTGGAATAGCGAATGGAGGCCACTTCCCCGCCGGTGCGTTTTCCACTCATGTCGGGTAGGCTACTCCGGTATTTTTGCTGTAGGACAGGTGATACTCTGTATGCCATGGGGCTCGCCAACCCTGTTCCTGCAGCTACCCAGTGCTTCATTTGGGAAACCAAGTGAAATCCTCTGTTCAGGAACATCGATAGTAACATGTTGTTTTCACAACGCAACATATTTAATTAACTGTTGACAGCCCCTCTCTCTCTGCGCGATGGAGAAAGGAATTGAAGTAGAGAGGGGAGGAGATGTAAACTCACGGTAGTGAGATACTGTATTCTGTAGCTAAAAAGGTAATGTGTCTATTTATTATGAAACTATTTTTTTTAAAATGCCCTATTACTAGGCTATTCAAAATCAAAAAGCCTATAATTATAATGAATTTGTAGCCTAATTAACTTGTTTCATTTAGGCTAGACCAATGTACCAAAGATATCTTAAATCAGTATTTTTGTAATGTTTTTCTGCCATGTGTAATATGTGGTAGACTAAGTATTGTATAACGACACAATCATTATTTTAAAATCAGTTTCTTTTTTCAAAATGTTATTATTATTTTATTTATTTGTAAATTCAGGCTTACGCTCATATATAGGCCTATGCATATGCTCTAATATGCATAAGGGTGTTTTGAATTAATCATCACCTTAGAAAGCGCTGTCCATTTCGTTGTGTTAGACTTTGAAATAACATCCACAATGACCATGTGTTCCACTCAGTTTCAACCTGCTGTTGAACTTCTTTCTTCAAATTGATCATCACAGTGAGGTGAGTTTTAAAAATACTGTTTTGATGGTAAGTGTTTGATGTGATTTTCGATTGCATTTGCATTGATGTCAGAGTGGTTAGAGGGACAATAGAGCCCTGAGTACCAGGCCATTAGGACCTGATGGTTAGAGGGACAATAGAGCCCTGAGTACCAGGCCGTTAGTGACCTGATGGTTAGAGGGACAATAGAGCCCTGAGTACCAGGCCATTAGGACCTGATGGTTAGAGGGACAATAGAGCCCTGAGTACCAGGCCATTAGGACCTGATGGTTAGAGGGACAATAGAGCCCTGAGTACCAGGCCATTAGGACCTGATGGTTAGAGGGACAATAGAGCCCTGAGTACCAGGCCATTAGGACCTGATGGTTAGAGGGACAATAGAGCCCTGAGTACCAGGCCATTAGGACCTGATGGTTAGAGGGACAATAGAGCCCTGAGTACCAGGCCATTAGGACCTGATGGTTAGAGGGACAATAGAGCCCTGAGTACCAGGCCATTAGGACCTGATGGTTAGAGGGACAATAGAGCCCTGAGTACCAGGCCATTAGGACCTGATGGTTAGAGGGACAATAGAGCCCTGAGTACGAGGCCATTAGGACCTGATGGTTAGAGGGACAATAGAGCCCTGAGTACATTTTCGTCATTTAGCAGACGCTCTTATCCAGAGCGACTTACAAATTGGTGCATTCACCTTATGATAGCCAGTGGGACAACCACTTTACAATTATTATTATTATTATTTTTTTAATGTTTTGGGGTGGGGTAAGGGGGGGGGGGGTCGAATGATTACTTTATCCTATCCCAGGTATTCCTTAAAGAGGTGGGGTTTCAAGTGTCTCCGGAAGGTGGTGAGTGACTCCGCTGTCCTGGCGTCGTGAAGGAGCTTGTTCCACCATTGGGGTGCCAGAGCAGCGAACAGTTTTGACTGGGCTGAGCGGGAACTGTGCTTCCGTAGAGGTAGGGGGGCCAGCAGGCCAGAGGTGGATGAACGCAATGCCCTCGTTTGGGTGTAGGGACTGATCAGAGCCTGAAAGTAAGGAGGTGCCGTTCCCCTCACAGCTCCGTAGGCAAGCACCATGGTCTTGTAGCAAGTACCAGGCCATTAGCGACCTGAAGAGCGTCTGCTAAATGACTAAAATATAAATATATAAATATATGATCATTATCAGTTGGCTACTACCAACACACGTCCAGAGTGCATAAGAGGAGTTTACCGTGACTCAACAGTCACATGGTATTTTACTGTGGTCATGACTCATGACTGCTGGTGATGAGAGTGGATGAGTGAGTGACTGAGTGAATGACAAACTATCTGCTTTAGCCTTGTGACAATGCATTTCTGAAAAGTGCTAAAATTGAACTAAAATGACAGGGATCTCCACGTACTGTACCTTCAGGGTCATCGATGGCCCCAGCGTCTACGATGTCATCGTCCTCTGGCTCCTCAGGCTGGGGCTCTGGTTTCACCTCGGCCTGCTGACGGGCCAACGTATCACTACGCCTGGGCCGACCACGACCACGCTTCTTAGGAGGGGGGCCACCTGGAAGTTAACACAAACACAACCAATCAGATCATCGTATTCCAAACAGGACCACCAATCAGCTAATTCAACTTTCCCTTTGGGGGTTGATTTAGGCATATTCCTTTTTTTTTTTTTAAACCTCAATTTGGGGGTTAATAAAGTATCATCTTGTTTTATTTGATCATATTCCATACAGGCCTCTTTGGCAGAGCGCTTGTTCGATAAATTATAAAGGGTTGTATTAGTCTAATTTCTCCCTGGGGATCAATAAAGTTTAATTCCAATTAATTCAGCTGGGGATAAATAAAGTTTGATTCAAATTAATTCTGTTTCTGTCCTCACCTGTGCCTCTAGACTATATACAAATCTAATTTCCCCTTCTGATGATCAATACAATTTGTTCATTAATATGTTCATGTGTCTTTCTTCTCTCAGCTCTCTCTAGGTGGGATGAGGCTACCGTACCTGTTGGTTTGAAGTGCCTGTCTCTCAGCTCTCTCTAGGTGGGATGGGGCTACCGTACCTGTTGGTTTGAAGTGCCCGTCTCTCAGCTCTCTCTAGGTGGGATGGGGCTACCGTACCTGTTGGTTTGAAGTGCCCGTCTCTCAGCTCTCTCTAGGTGGGATGGGGCTACTGTACCTGTTGGTTTGAAGTGCCTGTCCCTCTGCTCTCTCTAGGTGGGATGGGGCTACTGTACCTGTGGGTTTGAAGCGCCTGTCCCTCAGCTCTCTCTAGGTGGGATGGGGCTACCGTACCTGTGGGTTTGAAGTGCCTGTCTCTCATGTGGTTGATGAGGGTGTTTTTGGAGACACTCTTGTAGGGGCACATCTTGCACTTGAACTGCTGAACGATCACCACCTCCATCATCTCCTCCAGTTCAGCCATGGTGTGTGGGACGGGGACCCCTGGTCCGCTCCCAGCCCCAGTCCCCTCCACGACCGGAGCTCCAGACCCCCCCACCACACCGCCCTCCTCTCCCCTGGAAGGCCTCCCCAAACTGGGGGACCATGGAGGTTCAGGGGCCTCTTCCACCTCAGGCTCCGGGTGGTAGGAGTAGGTCCCACTGCTGCTGATGTAAGGGCCAGGCTGGCTCTCAGAACACTCCATAGCCTCTGGATGATCTGCTGTGCCTGAGTCTGCGGTGTCTGCCTGGGGGTGGTGGTGGTCTGTGGAGGAACCCTCGCCTCCCTCCCCAGCCCCAGCGTACCTCCCCAGGGAGGACTCTGGGCCAGTGCTGCTGCTGGTAGTCTCCATGTAGTGGGAGTGCTGAGGCTGCTGCTGGTCAGAGTGCTGTGGCTGGTCTGGGTCCTGGTTCTGGTCTGGTTCCTGGTTCTGGTCTGGGTCTTCTCCTTGCCCTTCCTCAACCTGGTATTGGTAACATCCTGGCTGTTCCGAATCTGCAGCCCCAGACTCCATATACTGCCGCAGGGTTTGGTGACTCTGAGAGTGGGAGTTGGAACAACCGGGCTGCTCCGAATCTGCAATCGCAGCCCCGGATTCCACATACTGCCGCAGGGTTTGGTGACTCTGGGAGTGGTTAGGCAGTGTGTGGTGACTCTGGGAGTGGTTAGGGAGGGTTTGGTGACTCTGGGAGTGGTTAGGGAGGGTTTGGTGACTCTGGGAGTGGTTAGGGAGGGTTTGGTGACTCTGGGAGTGGTTAGGGAGGGTTTGGTGACTCTGGGAGTGGTTAGCACTGCTGCTGCTGTCGATGTAGCTCCGAGAGTGGTGCTGACTCGAATCCTCTTCCTCGTCCCCTGCACACTCCAGGTACGCCCCAGTCCCCGCGCTGCAGTCCACCATATAGTGGGTGTGGCGTAGGCGGGCAGGGGAGGAGGGGTTGGGGTTGGAGTCGGCAGCTCCACTCCCGCTACACTCCACATACCCCCTCAGGTCCTGGTCAGAGTTGTCGACTACACCGTACTCCGGGAAGCGGGACCGGACGAGGGAGCGGGAGGTGCGTGTCTGGTCGGGTTCCTCATCGTCTACATACGAGGAGGAGGACTCTCCAGTCTGGTTAAATCAAATCAAACTTTATTTTAAAATAGCAACACACTTCACCATAAAACAATGGAATGAAAGATAAACCAAAAAAATACTGAAAAGTCATGAAAGGAGATAAAGGAGCATAAAGAACAGAACATAAAAAGGATGACTAAAATAACAAGAGAATATTTTATTTAAAGGCCAAAGCTAAAAACACAAGCTTTCAAACCTCAATTGTGCCTGCCCCTCTTACCTGATCGGGTCCGTCCGCGTCTCCACCGCTACACTCCATGTACTGGGATGCGTGGGAGTGCTGGGGCTGGTTGTCCTGGTCCTCATGGTCTGGGTAGTGACCGGAGTGAGAGTGACTCCCAGAGGGCTGGTCTGGGTCCAGGTTACCTTGCATGTCATAAACATTTAAATTTTAAAAAAGGGACAGCACTCACTTGAAATCTTTACGAAGATTTTCTTTCATAAAAACATGAAAGACCCCACAGTGGCATATGTTGCATATTTCATACCCTGCATGTCTCCCTGGTCGTGGCAAGTGGAGGTAGGACCCTCTCCCAGAGCCTCGATGGCGATGCGGTGATGGCTGGACAGGGCCGATGACGACATGTGGGCTACCATTGGGGCCCCTGGAAAGAGAGAGGGAGATGTGGTCCCACAAAAAAGAAATGTACTTTCCTATGTACAATGTACTGGGTGCTGAAACGTTGGTTCTCTAAAATCGGAGTTTCCCAAACTTTTTGCACTCAGACCCCCCCTTCCAGCATTGGGGAACATCCTGCGCCCCCCCCCCCCCCTGCACGCCCCACATCTATTTCTATGTGACAAGCACTGTTCATGACACAAACGGTTCACACCCCTCTTGTTGGCAGAGAGAAATGTATCAGATTTAAAGCTCATTTTGTAAAATATACACATTTTGTCATTTCTTATGTGTTCATGTGAAATCGGAGTGACTCAAACATTACAACAAAATCAATGGGCTAAAAAAAACCTAGCTCAAACGTTAGCTGACATGGGCTAGTTGATCTGGACATTTCTGACAAGTTAAAAAATATCTCTCTAAGGTCTGAAATGACAAGAGGAAAACTGATAATGCACTGCCCAATTTTGCCCCCCCCCCCCCCCCGCCGCCGACCCCTTGCACTACCCAATTTTGCCCCCCCCCCCGACCCCTTGGGAACCACTGCTCTAAAATCACTGTAGTGTGCTACTCGGATGAACTAACAGATACAGTCGGTACCAAAGAGGCCTCAGAGAAAAGCTCACCATCATCTGGTCCTTGTAGTATCAAATACTGCCCCTCACTGGCCTCTGCAGTTCCATCCTCTGCACTGGTCACTGCTCTAAAACCTGGAGAAGAGTGATACATAGATATTGGCTGTGATGGACAGGTTACAGTGTGTGGTCAAGTTCTCCACAAAGGAAATCACACCCACCCAAGACTTCCTTCTCCTTTTTGTTACCTGAACGGTGTGTATTTGTACTGACATTGTTTGTTACGTTTGTGTCCATTGTTCTATATATTTTCATGACGCTAGGAATTAAATTCCCTTGCTGGGGGAAAAAAGGTTTTCATTCCCTCACCAGGTCCGATGGTGGACTCTATGATCTTGTCTATGGCTGATCCCAGGTCTGTGGAGGTGGAGGCGGTGGAGTCGGACACCATCATGCCCCCGCAGTCTGACCCCGCCGCACTGGAGTGGACCGTCACCTGTAATACCATTTGCCGTTTAGCAGACGCTTTTAACCAAAGCGACTTAGCTGTGTTGAATGTCACTGACTATTAGCCAAATCAACGCTAGGAAGAAAAAGACAAGTGCAAGTGTAATACAAACAGTTATTAACTTTTGTCATTTTTAGCACTGGTGCTCCTAACTTCAAAAAGTAAGAAGCCCCATTCCATTTTATTTTTTTTACTGCAAACGACTGTCCCATCATTCTTAAATTGTCATCAGTTGTTGGCTTGATGTAGAACGCATCACTAGGCAGTGGGCAAAACATTAGAATTAAAATATATTTTAGTAATTGTACTCAAAAGTGCAACTGCAAACCTACAGTGGGGGGAAAAAAGTATTTAGTCAGCCACCAATTGTGCAAGTTCTCCCACTTAAAATGATGAGAGAGGCCTGTAATTTTAATCATAGGTACACGTCAACAATGACAGACAAAATTAGATTTTTTTTCTCCAGAAAATCACATTGTAGGATTTTTTATGAATTTATTTGCAAATTATGGTGGAAAATAAGTATTTGGTCAATAACAAAAGTTTCTCAATACTTTGTTATATACCCTTTGTTGGCAATGACACAGGTCAAACGTTTTCTGTAAGTCTTCACAAGGTTTTCACACACTGTTGCTGGTATTTTGGCCCATTCCTCCATGCAGATCTCCTCTATAGCAGTGATGTTTTGGGGCTGTCGCTGGGCAACACGGACTTTCAACTCCCTCCAAAGATTTTCTATGGGGTTGAGATCTGGAGACTGGCTAGGCCACTCCTGGACCTTGAAATGCTTCTTACGAAGCCACTCCTTCGTTGTCCGGGCGGTGTGTTTGGGATCATTGTCATGCTGAAAGACCCAGCCACGTTTCATCTTCAATGCCCTTGCTGATGGAAGGAGGTTTTCACTCAAAATCTCACGATACATGGCCCCATTCATTCTTTCCTTTACACGGATCAGTCGTCCTGGTCCCTTTGCAGAAAAACAGCCCCAAAGCATGATGTTTCCACCCCCATGCTTCACAGTTGGTATGGTGTTCTTTGGATGCAACTCAGCATTCTTTGTCCTCCAAACACGACGAGTTGAGTTTTTACCAAAAAGTTATATTTTGGTTTCATCTGACCATATGACATTCTCCCAATCCTCTTCTGGATCATCCAAATGCACTCTAGCAAACTTCAGACGGGCCTGGACATGTACTGGCTTAAGCAGGGGGACACGTCTCGCACTGCAGGATTTGAGTCCCTGGCGGCGTAGTGTGTTACTGATGGTAGGCATTGTTATTTGTTAATTTGCAAATAAATTCATAAAAAATCCTACAATGTGATTTTCTGGATTTTTTCCCCCTCCATTTCTCTGTCATAGTTGACGTGTACCTATGATGAAAATTACAGGCCTCACTCATCTTTTTAAGTGGGAGAACTTGCACAATTGGTGGCTGACTAAATACTTTTTTCCCCCACTGTATTTACTGTACATAGATAATTTGTTTTGGACAAACAAATGTAACATACAAAACAGAACATTGGATTGTATTAAAAAAACGCAACAGCAAATGTATTTACATAGGTGATTAAAACATAACTTTTATTGTATTTAACAGTGCAAATGCAACTCTAAACTGTTATCCATTACGGCATTCAGCTAACAGATAATAATACAAAACTATGTAGCTAATATATTAATGTTGTAATAGGGCAACGTGATGACTATGAACTGATACTTAATATTTATATATTTCTTAATGCCATTCTTTTACTTTAGATATGTGCGTATTGTTGTGAATTGTTAAATAATACTGCACTGTTGGAGCTAGGAACACAAGCATTTCACTACACCCGCAATAACATCTGCTAAATACACTACCAGTCAAAGGTTTGGACACACCTACTCATTCATGGGTTTTTCTTTATTTTTACATTGTACAATAATAGTGAAGACATCAGAACTATGAAATAACACATATGGAATCATGTAGTAACCAAAAAAAGTGTTAAACAAATCAAATATTTTGTATATTTGAGATTCTTCAAATAGCCACCCTTTGCCTTGATGACAGCTTTGCACACGCTTGGCATTCTCTCAACCATCTTCATGAGGTAGTCACCTGGAATGCATTTCAATTAACAGGTGTGCCTTCTTAAAAGTTAATTTGTGGAATGCATTTCCTTCTTAATGCATTTGAGCCAATCAGGTGTGTTGTGTCCACTGTAAATTCCAAGCATCTGCCTCTAACCCTAGGAAGCTCTTTGCCACCTTCAACTCCCTGCTGATCACTAATCCCAGGCACTTGTCATCTCCCGTCTGGATTACTCTGCCGCTACAACATTCGCAGAGTACGACCCTGCCATACACAGGAAGCGGCACAGGTCCTAATCCAGGCACTTGTCATCTCCCGTCTGGATTACTGCAACTCACTGTTGGCTGGGCTCCCTGCCTGTGCCATTAAACCCCTACAACTCATCCAGAACGCCGCAGCCCGTCTGGTGTTCAACCTTCCCAAGTTCTCTCACATCACCCCGCTCCTCCGCACACTCCACTGGCTTCCAGTTGAAGCTCGCATCTGCTACAAGACCATGGTGCTTGCCTATGGAGCTGTGAGGGGAACGGCACCTCCGTACCTTCAGGCTCTGATCAGTCCCTACTCCCAAACGAGGGCATTGCGTTCATCCACCTCTGGCCTGCTGGCCCCCCTACATCTGCGGAAGCACAGTTCCCACTCAGCCCAGTCAAAACTGTTCGCTGCTCTGGCACCCCAATGGTGGAACAAGCTCCCTCACGACGCCAGGACAGCGGAGTCACTCACCACCTTCCGGAGACACTTGAAACCCCACCTCTTTAAGGATTACCTGGGATAGGATAAAGTAATCCTTCTACCCCCCCTTACCCCACCCCCCAAAAAAAGTAATATATATATAAATATTGTAAAGTGGTTGTCCCACTGGCTATCATAAGGTGAATGCACCAATTTGTAAGTCGCTCTGGATAAGAGCGTCTGCTAAATGGCGAAAATTTAAATTTAAAATGTGACAAGGTAGGGGGGTATTTCATTATACAGAAGATAGCCCTATTTGGTAAAAGACCAAGTCCATATCATGGCAAGAACAGCTCAAATAAGCAAAGAGAAACGACAGTCCATCATTACTTTAAGACATGAAGGTCAGTCAATACGGAAAATTGGGCCAAGAAACACGAGCAATGGACATTAGACCGGTGGAAATTTGTCCTTTGGTCTGGAGTCCAAATGTGAGATTTTTGGTTCAAACCGCCGTGTCTTTGTGAGACGTGGTGTGGGTGAACGGATGATCTCCACATGTGTAGTTCCCAGCGTAAAGCATGGAGGAGGAGGTGTTATGGTGTGGTGGTGCTTTGCTGGTGAAACTGTGTGATATATTTAGAATTCAAGGCACACTTAACCAGCATGGCTACCACAGCATTCTGCAGCGATACGCCATCCCATCTGGTTTGGGTTTAGTGGGACTATCATTTGTTTTTCAACAGACAATGACTCAACACACCTCCAGGCTGTGTAAGGGCTATTTTACCAAGAAGGAGAGTGATGGAGTGCTGCATCAGATGACCTGGCCTCCACAATCCCCCGACCTCAACCCAATTGAGATGGTTTGGGATGAGTATGACGGCAGAGTGAAGGAAAAGCAGCCAATAAGTGCTCAGCATATGTGGGAACTCCTTCAAGACTGTTGGAAAAGCATTCCTCATGAAGTTGGTTGAGAGAATGCCAAGAGTGTGCAAAGCTGTCATCAAGGCAAAGGGTGGCTTTTTGAAGAATCTCAAATATAAAATATATTTAGATTAGTTTAAGACTTTTTTGGTTACTACATGATTCCATATGTGTTATTTCATAGTTTTAATGTCTTCACTATTTTTCTACAATGTAAAAATTTTAAAAAATAAAGAAAAACCCATGAATGAGTAGGTGTGTCTAAACTTTTGACTGGTACTGTATGTGTATGTGACGAATAAAAATTGGTTTGATTTACTTGGATAATGAAATAAAGGTCTAGTCTCCTCTCACAATAACTAATCAATTTCTTTGATCTAGAATGTAGCTAAAAAAAACGACATGCCTTTATGGTTAGAGTAGGGACGTCCCAAGGATTCCGGATAGCACTAACACGCTTCCCGGATAGTGTACGCTACGGTGCCAATAACTTTTGCGCAAGACCACTCGTTTCCATATGTCGGGTTGAATTGTAATCCATTCTTTTTATGGGTAAGTAAAAGCCATCTCCTCTTTGGCAATGCAGTAAGCGGTGTTCAATTTAATCTCTAGCTCAGTTAGCTCTGCCTGTTAACCAGCTTGGGCTGCCACCCGTTGCCTGTCAAATACGGCTGGTAGCTAGTATGGCTGGCAGCTAGGCTGGCAACTAGTATGGCTGGTAACTAGTACAGCTGGTAGCTAGGCTGGTAGCTAGGCTGGTAAGTAGTACGGCTGGTAGCTAGTACGGCTGGTAACTAGGCTGGTTGGTAGCTAGGCTGGCTGGTAGCTAGTACGGCTGGTAGCTAGTACGGCTGGTAGCAGGTACGGCTGGTAGCAGGTACGGCTGGTAACTAGTACGGCTGGTAACTAGTACGGCTGGTAACTAGTACGGCTGGTAGCTAGGCTGGTAACTAGTACGGCTGGTAACTAGTAAGGCTGGTAACTAGTACGGCTGGTAGCTAGGCTGGTAACTAGTACGGCTGGTAACTAGTAAGGCTGGTAGCTAGTATGGCTGGTAGCTAGGCTGGTAACTAGTACAGCTGGTAGCTAGTACGGCTGGTAGCTAGGCTGGTAACTAGTAAGGCTGGTAACTAGGCCGACTGATAGCTAGGCTGGTAGCTAGTACGGCTGGTAGCTAGGCCGGTAACTAGGCTGGCTATGGGGGTCAACCAGGGTGCTCTTGAATATTAGAGATGCTTACCTGGGCCGACCCGGACACCAGGATGGACTGGGTAACAGTGGAGACGCTGGTGGACTGGGCCACAGAGGAGGAGTCTGGGAGGTGGACGGTGGCTCTATGGTGGGTGACGTCCGTACTGGAGCTAGTCTCTGGTAGGAACACCTGGAAACACAGAAACACGGGTGAGAGGCAGGGAGATGGACACTAACAAAAAAATGTATTACCGGAGCCCCTACCGAGGCATTCAAACATAGAAGAGTCTTTGAATCCTTGAAAAGCGCTTTATAAAATGTATTATGATTATCATTGCAAACACACAGGCTTCCCTTGTATTACCATTACAGATTGAATGTTTTTATCTCTTGTAGGTTATATCATGGTCCAAACACACTATAAAGTTGTGAAGAAAGCACGACAACGCCTCTTCTCCCTCAAAAAGCTGAAAAGATTTGAGATGGGCCCTCAGATCCTCAAAAAGTTCTACAGCTGCACCATTGAGAGCATCTTGACTGGCTGCATCACCGCTTGGTATGGAAACTGTTTGGCATCCGACCGCATGGTGCTACAGACGGTGGTGTGTATGCCCCAGTACATCACTGGGGCCGAGCTCCCTGCCATCCAGGAACTCTATACCTGGCAGTGCCAGAGGAAGGCCCTAAAAATTGTTGAAGACTCCAGCCAAGTCATAGACTTTTCTCCGCACAGCAAGCGATATCAATGCACCAAGTCTGGAACCAACAGGACCCTGAACAGCTTTTAACCCCCAAGCCATAAGACTGCTAAATAGTTAGTCCGGGTAGCTATTTGGTTAACTATCTGCATTGACCCTTTTTGCACTAACTTTTTTGACGCATCACATACGCTGCTGCTACCGTTTACTATCCGTCACTTTATTCCTAGTTATATGTACATATCTACCTCAATTATCTCGTACCCCTGCACATCGGCTCGGTACTGGTACCCCGTGTATATAGCCAAGTTATCGTTACACATTGTGTATCTATTATTACATGTTTTACTTTTCTATAATTTCTCTATTTTCTTTCTCTCTGCATCGTTGGGAAGGGCCCCGTAAGTAAGCATTTCACTGTTAGTCTACACCTGTTGTTTACAAAGCATGTGACGAATAAAATTTGATTTGATGTCGAATAGCAATAAAAAGTTTGAGGATTCTGAACAGTTCAGATAGTGTTGTTGTTCTTACCAGGACACCCTCTGAGCTTTGTCCCACATGGCAGTCTGACTCTGGGGCCTGGCTGTGGTGACGGTGCCCATGGTGGTGCTGGCTGTGGTGGTGGCGGTGGGAGGCATGCGGGGCTGCTGCATCGCTGCTGTCTGCAGACATGGCCTCCGACGACTCCATCCCCATACCGCTCTCTGACGGCTCCTCCATCCCAGACCCTGACGGACCCACATCACTGCTGCTCTCCACCTCTATCTCCTCCTCCATCTAGGATAGAAAATAATATGGTCATTAGCAGAGCTTTTAGAATAGAATAGAATAACTGTATTTTCTCCAGAGGGAACGTCATTTTCCAAAAATACGTATTTTTGTTTTAGTCATTTAGCAGATACTCTTATCCAGAACGACATATGACTATGTACATTTTCATACTGGTCCCCAGTGGGGAATCGAACCCACAACCCTGGCATTGCAAGCACCATGCTCTACCAACTGAGCCACACAGGACTTATGAGTAGTACATGTTCAGTGAGAGGGAATCAAACCCACAACCTTGGTATTGTCAACATCAGGCTCTAACCCTTGAGCCATCTTACTAATTTTCATCCTGAGGACAGTCACGGTCACACTACAGAGACTGAGACGTGATGATTGATGATCATACATCTATTCATTATCAATCTTCTGGCATTAGCCTATTCTTTCACAGGGAGTGTGCTTTTACACAAAACGTGTGTACCTTTTATTGGATATTGATTGTGGGAAATGCCACTTATTTTAAAGAATAGCAGATTATTGCGTATCAGTTTAGATGACTTTCTGTAGAGTACCATTTGTGAGGGTTCATGAGAGAAGTCTGAGTGTGGAGGTAAATAATATCACTGACACTAGATGGAACAGACTGTATTGGAGCGCTTGCTAGCTTCATCGCTAACTAACTGCTAATTGCGCTGGACGTGGTTTCTTTTTCTTCGCGCTTAGATAGCACATTGGCGACCTTGATATGCAAATATACTAGCTAGTAACTAAGCTAGTAATAGTAGCTTTTCTAGGAAGACAAGGTTAGTTAGCCAGCTAACTAACTAACTATTGGACAATCCGGTCAGATCCTGCTAATAAACCCGCTGACACGAGGTTGCACATCAACACGCAACAAGGTCAGTGGCATATTTATATGCTTCGTTGTTAGCTGTTGGAATAATACAACAAAACAGCTATTATTGTCCTTTATACGTTGACAGCTATAACTAAAACACAACTGGAGTTCAGCGTGTAGCCAGCAACGACCCTTCTTTATGATTTAAACAGGCCTAGCTGCCCTCTCTCCTGCCTGCTCCGCGAGCCCTCTTTTTTTTGCATTCAGGCATTCTAGAACCTACTAAGGCGGAGGGACCTCGAGGGCCTCAGCAAAAACAGACCGCCCGACGTCCGTCCCTGAAGAAAATTTTATAAATGTATCTATATAACACGAGATTCCTTGGGATTTTTACTTACTGTGTATTGCGAGTTGAATTTGTTTGACTTAGTAGACACGCCAAACTGTATAAGAAGTTGTACGCGATAATTGCTCCTCCATTCTAGTCGGGCGCCATCAGTATCTCCTCACTTCCTGTTTGACCAACCGGATCTTATTTCTCTTGTTTTGCTGAAAAGTGGAAGCTGCGTTAAAATGTGTTCCTTGTTTTTTCAGTAAATTAAGGGCAGCTCTTTTTTTTCTCCTAATCTTATTAAACGATTACATTCAATAGAGCACCGTATGGGAAATTACAGGACTATTGTTTCCTGAAGAAGGCGTATTACAGAATTTGCCCACGAGCAGCGTACTGGGCGCAGTAAAAATATCAAGTGTAGCGCGAGCTTGTTACAATGTTGCGGAAAATCTGTAGTTATGGCTACAAATGTACTAGTTGTAAATAGCAGCTTGATGTTTGTATAACTATGGTTAGATGTTACAATGTATCTATTTACTAATGGCAGCGGCTTATAACGCTGGATGTTTGGCTCTGTGTGCTGTGTGGAAGTTCAAATAAAAAACGGGCATAACTATTTCAAAAGATTTTTACTGAGTTACAGTTCATATAAGGAAATCAGTCAATTGAAATAAAATCGTTAGCCCAAATCTATGGATTTCACATGACTGGGAATACAGATATGCATCAGTTGGTCACAGATACACCCCAACCCCCAAAAAAAGGTAGGGGCGTGGATTAGAAAACCAGTCGGTATCTGGTGTGACCACCATTTGCCTCATGCAGCACGACATCTCCGTAGAGTTCATCAGGCTGTTGATTGTGGCCTGTGTAATGTTGTCCCACTCCTCTTCAATGGCTGTGCGAAGTTACTGGATATTGGCAGGAACTGGAACACGCTGTCGTACACGTCGATCCAGAGTATCCCAAACATCCTCAATGTGTGACATGTCTTGAGTATGCAGGCCATGGAAGAACTGGGACATTTTCAGCTTCCAGGAATTGTGTACAGATCCTTGCGACACGGTGCCGTGCATTATCATGTTGAAACATGAGGTGATGGCGTCGGATGAATGGCATGACAATGGGCCTCAGGATCTTACCACAGTATCTCTGTGCATTCATATTGCCATCGATAAAATGCCATTTTGTTCGTTGTCTGTAGCTTATGCCTTCCCATACCATAACCCCACCACGGGGCACTCTGTTCACACGTTGACATAAGCAAACCGCTCACCCATACAATGCCATACACGTGGTCTGCGGTTGTGAGGCAGGTTGGACCTCCTGCCAAAATCTCTAAATTAACATTTTGTCTCCAGCACAAGGTGCACCCCTGTAATGATCATGCTGTTTAATCAGCTTCTTGATATGCCACACCTGTCAGGTGGATGGAGTATCTTGGTAAAGGAGAAATGCTCACTAACAGGGATGTAAACAAATTTGTGCACAACATTTTAGAGAAATAGGTTTTATGTGTGTATGGAAAATATTTGGGATATTTTATTTCAACTCATGAAACATGGGACCAACACTTTACATGTTGCGTTTATATTTTTGTTGTGTATTATGCAGAACTTTGTGTTGACAGCAAAGAGGAAGACCCTTTAGTTTGGTGACAGCTGCACAAGATGATTAGCTAGCTATACAGTTACATTGACAAGAACTGATAATGAAGTGCTATTTGTTTATTGAATTTTCATTTCTGTTTTAATACAATACATTGCTTTACATACAAAATAACTTATGTGAGAGATACAATGGCATGCCATCCAGTGCAAAATACATGGCTTTTGAGCCAGTTAAAAAAATATTAAATAACTCCAAATGAACACTTGTATTGTTGAACACAAAAATAAAACCGGACAGTAATATAAATAAATATCAATTCAACGTCTCATCCAAAATATCTGCGCCAGGGAGATGGTTTAAAGCCACAACAGATTTTGAATCGGTTCTGCTGGGGCTGAAATCATTATTTCAGGGCTGTGGTTATGTCTCTCTCTGGACCCTAGTCTAGATTAGATGACAATAACCTGTTAACTCACACACAGTTAAAAGGAAAGTGCCCATACATGTGTAGCACTTTTATGACCTAATTCTACTGTTGTGATGTTGGTACATGGAAGGTGATGTTGGTACATGGAAGGTGATGTTGGTACATGGAAGGTGATGTTGGTACATGGAAGGTGAGTTGGTACATGGAAGGTGATGTTGGTACATGGAAGGTGATGTTGGTACATGGAAGGTGGCCGATCATTTCAAAATTTTACAAAGCACACAAACTATGTGGTGCCGTTTCAACTTTACAAACGGCACTGGATAAGAGCGTCTGCTAAATAACTTCAAATGTAAATGTACAAGGAGATGGCAACACAGCACAAACAGATCTCGGACCCTACCCTAAGAGGCCCTATTGAAAGGGTTCTTCAATCTTCAGCCCCCTAGTTAGAGGAGTCGGTACACTTCAGGAGGTCGTCCTTCACGTATCCCACACGGTCCACCTGTCTCCTAGAGTTCATTCGCCAGTAGATGTCATCCTGGCAGAAGTAGGAGTGGCCTACAATACAAAACAATCACAAGGATGAACCTTCTTTCATGTGTTGTGTGTTTAGTACACATGATGGTACACAGCAGTGTGAAGTGTCTTGATGTCATGGTTCCAATTACAGGAGGGAGGGAGGGAGGGAGGGAGGGAGGGGGGGGGGGGGGGGGGGTCTACAGTGTGAGTGGAGGAATGTAGTTGAATATTTACCCATGAATTGGAACACATCATGGGCATCAACGGGGACTCCTACAAAGACCAGGTCTGTGAAGCGAGGATATCCCTTGTCGATTTTCTGGGCCTCCACATCCAGCCTGTAAGGATCAGACACATTTGGTTTGTTCATTACAACACAGACCTACAGATACAGTAAATACTTATACAGCTAACCCTCCACAGAGCTCTATTCATCCACTTCTTCTTCTAGTTACATTTTAAATTGTTTTGCTATATGAAATGATAATACAGCTAATAATATTCTGCCACTTAGCAGTCACTTTTATCCAAAGCAATTTACAATACAGTCAGTGCATACATTTCTAGTATGCGTGTGATCCCTTCAAAAACTTGAATCCCACAACCTTATCTCAACATCCCGTCCTCCCATATGAACTTGGGATGGACTCACCTCCAGAAGTTCTCGTCGCTGAAGAGCAGCACCTTGCCTTTCCCTCTCTGCAATGCTCCCTCCACCTTCGCTACAGTAGAGGGCAGACCCAGCGTCTCAATGCTGCGGGGTCCCAGGACACTCTGCCCAGTATACACCCAGAACCTGGTGCCTGTGGGACAACAGAGACAAAGGTTAGAGTGTTGTCATCTGTGGGGGTGGGAAGTGTGTGTGTGTGTGTGTGTGTGTGTGTAAAATCTGAATTCTATTTACCTGAGAAGAAGTAGATTTTCTTGGTCACAAGGTCCTCGAAGGCTGTGTCAACGACGGCTGGCAGAGCCGGCCACCTCTCAGACATGGAGAACGGACCCTCCAGTCCACCATCAGTCTTGCTCGACAACCTCCAATATTGCCTGTTGGATCAGCAAAAACATCACAATTATTAATGTAGCTACATTGCATCGCTATTACTTACATTGTAAGAGAATGGGCTACACTATTAGAAGAAATGGTGCTATAAAAGAACCAAAAAGTGTTGAATAGCTCTTATGGCTGTCGTGGTGTAGCTGTTCTTAGTAATAAGAGGGGAATCCAGCGGGAGGAATCTGTGAACCCTGGGCTCGTTTATTTACATTCTGTCCCATACTCTTACATCATCTATCATGTTTCTCTCTCTGGTTATCTCTCCCTTAGCCCATAACTCTATCCTGTTTCTCTCTCTGGTTATCTCTCCCTTAGCCCATAACTCTATCCTGTTTCTCTCTCTGGTTATCTCTCCCTTAGCCCATAATTCTATCCTGTTTCTCTTTCTGGTTATCTCTCTCTTAGCCCATAATTCTATCCTGTTTCTCTCTCTGGTTATCTCTCCCTTAGCCCATAATTCTATCCTGTTTCTCTCTCTGGTTATCTCTCCCTTAGCCCATAATTCTATCCTGTTTCTCTCTCTGGTTATCTCTCCCTTAGCCCATAATTCTATCCTGTTTCTCTCTCAGGTTATCTCTCCCTTAGCCCATAATTATATCATGTTTCTCTCTCAGGTTCTCTCTCTCTTAGCCCATAACTCTTGTGCGCTCTTAAACGGGCACACATCCATTTAACATCACAGACCTCAAAAAGGTTGTAGTGTTGAACCGCAAAGCAACCTTATATTTGTTTTACCAGTGTAAAGGTTGCTCACCCATCCTTGAAGAAGTGCAGATCTCCATCAATCTCTGTGATGGTGTCGAACTTGTTAATCTGGCAGGGGTCCTGGGATGGGTCCACAGGCTCAGGCTCATCGCTGGGGTCAGGGCCAGGTGAAGGAATAGTGGGGATGGGTCCAGGGGGTGTGGGGTCAGGGCCTGTCTTGGATCCTGGGTGGGAAGATATTGGAAATGAATGCAATAAATGAAATGAACAACACTTAACTATAGTCATTTTTGTTCCATTACCATCTGGTCTCTGTGGTGATATAGGGAAATACTATGTTGTTGTCTGTATGTTGTGAATCCTGTGTGAGCACATGACATTGCAGCCTGGTCCCAGCCCACTTGGCAAAAACTGGTTGAATCAACATTGTTTCTACGTCATTTCAACCCAAAAAGATCTATGTGATGACATTGAATCAATGTGGAAAACTGATTGGATTTACAAAAAATAATCAATGTATGGGCATTTTGTCTGTTTTCCACCCAACTCTTAACCTAAATCTAATTACATGGTGACATTTGTTGTTGATTTCATGTTGAATTCACAGTTAGTTGACAACTCAACCAAATGTAAATCAAAACTAGATGTTAAACTGACATCTGTGCCCAGAGGGAGGTCTGTTTGTCACTCAAGACAGCACACACATATCTAGGACCAGACTAGTGATATTGTGTAATCAAGTTTCAAGTTTTAATGTCACATGCACAAGTACAGTGAAATGCCTTTCTAATCATGTCATATTGTGATAATATCATACCATAGAGATACTGAATGCCTTCAACATCATCTTCATGCAGGGAGAAGTCTTCAACGTAGCCGTACATGGGATACATGAGGGCATCTCTGATGTTGGAGTGGTCCAGACCCAGGGCATGACCAAACTCATGGGCCGCAACCAGGAACAGACTGTAGCCTGAGAGAGGAGTGAGTGGGAAGAAACACATCATTAAGTCAGTTGTGGTGTGCACCTATAGCCTGAGTGCCAGTATGTTTGTACTATCATGCTAACTTCCCGTCACTCATTATCATGTTTGGCTTGACATTTACTGTAACGGAGTTGGCAAGAGCACAGACAGATCTGGGACCAGGCCAGTGCACCTACACTAATACACATTTTCCACGCTATTGAGTGCTAGCCTGGTTACGCACCCCCCTAGAACCATGCTGGAAAGGACAATTTGAAAATAAATGATCTGACTCAGCGGTTCGAGTCGGCACAATAGTTTTGAAACAGGTATAGATGCACTGCCAGCAGTTTGAGTCAGCACGCTAGGTGCACTGACGCTGTCTACATCACTCACCACGATCTTGGCAGAAGCCCCATTTCGTGTCTACGTCAAAGTTGCTGGTGGTGGCGCACCACAGCCTGCCGTCTCCCCGTCCCTCGCTGGTGCATGAGTCATACTTCACCCCCTGGAAGACAAAGGGGAACTGGCACGGCTCTCCCTCAGAGTTTCCACCAATCACAGCCGTATCTGTCATAACACAGACACAACACTATTAGCGAACGTGTCACTGATGGCAGGCTAGTGATTCATGTATGTGTGACAGCGATCAGACCTGGGTTAAATTACTATTTAACTTTAGCTGTGCTTGATTGATATTTCTTGGTGCAATGGAACCAATGGATAGTCCCAAAAGTGCAAACCACACCCATTTGCCACTCCTGTATTTGAAATAAAACTAAAACTATTTGAACCCAGGTCTGGTAGTGGTGACAGTGACACTCCTCACCTCTGTTGGGACAGAAGCCATACTTCTTATCCTTGTCAAAGTTGTCTGTGGTGGAACACCAGCGGTATCCATCACTGCGGCCCTCCGTCGTGCAACCTTCATATGTCTCCCCAAGAAACACGAAAGGGAACACACATTCTTTTCCGTTGCTGTTTCCGTCGAATGTGTACAGAACTGTTTGTGTGTGAAAGAGCGCGAGAGAGAGAGAGAGAGAGAGACAGAGAGAGAGGGGGGCATATGATTAGAGAAATGTCATAGCAAACTCTGTCAAAAATACTTTCTGACCAATCATTCCCTCAAGTATTAGCTGTCAATCTTACGTTCGCTTGGACAGAAGCCGAATTTCTTGTCTCTGCCGTAGTCGGCTGTGGTGGCACACCAGGGCAGGTTGTCAGAGCGCCCCTCTGTGGTGCAGGTGGAATACTGCTTGCCCTCGAAGGAGAAAGGGAAGTGACACAAAGCACCCTCTGCGTTGCCAAAGCTAGTCTTCACAGCTGGAACAAAAAAAGTTATGTTTTTATTGGGTGCAATTGTGAATAATAGCTATGTCCGACATTATTAAATACATCTAATTTACCAATAAAATGGTTCACTGCAGCTCAAGGACTCAATCCTACAGATGATGTGGAGATGTTGGCAGAGGCGTATAATTCATTTCAATCTCAGTCAAGAAAATGCTTAAAATGGACAGTAGGGGGAGTCATAGCTCCATGAAATACTGACTGCCTAACTGAAACAGCCATGATTGACTATACATCTCCATGCTTACCTGGTCCTTTGCCGAGGGTCCAGTTTTCGTCATCATCAAAGTGGGCGTCTCCCTGTATACCCTCACCAGGGGGGAAGGCGTGGGCCAGAAGGCCGTCCTTACCATCGAAGGGGTAGCCGTCTCCATGGTCTGGAAAATAACAAGGCATTGAATTAATGGCATTCATTTCATGCAGAGTTGGGGTCAATTCCATTTCAGTTTGGTCAATTCAGTTGCTTCCTTTCATGTTTCTTCAATAAAGATTCATTTTGATGTGTACTCTTCAACTTAGAGATATGTTTTAAATGTAAATGTTCTGGGAGGCGGAGGTTGTTTAATTGACGCTATCAGATGGTATGGCACATATTGCATAGCCTGGAATCCAAACTGATATGCTCCGTTTCACTGAAGTGAAACAATGGTGAAACAGAGTATCCGTTTGGATCCCAGGCTGCATACAGTACTGCAGCCCCCTTCTTACCTGCTTTTCCAAATGACACCATGATGTCAGCGGTGCCGTCGAAGAGCCGCGTGAAAGTGAGAGGGGTGACATCACTCCACACTTTGAAGGCTCTGGCGAAGGCATCATCTATCAGAGAGGCTCCCATGTCCGGAGAGTAGTTCAGGATCCTACAGAGAAAAGCAAGATTGTACGGTCAAACTCACTATGCAGTCAACATCCACAGATTCAATTAGATAGTATCGTAGGCCATTGTTATGCAATGCGCTATTTGCACACCATTTCAGCTGTCTATAGCCAACTCGAGTCTGTTGAAGCACAGCGTCGGACATAACTCTGGAATGTGCTTTCTCAGTCAGGAAATGGTTGTAATGATACATGTATCTCATTACACTTAGCTACTGGGCTACTGAATATACATGAACACAACAAGAGGCATTAGGAGCATAACGCCGTGCAGTCTTTTGGCTCTTTTTTTATGCTTTCCCATCTTCCACTGTACCTGTACGTAACGTCGTGATGGTCCCATTTCAGGTCCCCCTCGAAGGTCTGGTAGGCGCGTACGTCAGGGACCCCGCAGCGAGGTGCCTTCATGGCTGCTACCGTAGACTTGTCCAGCGTCCCTGTCTCCTCCAGTCCCATCTGCCTCTGCATCCTCATCAGAGCCTTGGTGCTGGACACCATGGACTGGAAACCGCTGCGTTGCTGGACGTTCATGTAGCCGAACCTCTTCAGGTAGCTCTGGAGATAGGAAATAATGAATACGATGAGATTATTCCATAATTACATCATTGCAAATTCATGAAATTAGGTAAAATTATAATACATACATGTCTGCTTCAGATAGCTCTGATGATAAATTACACGATGAGGATTGGATTATAGCAAATTATGAGATTATTGCAAATCATAAAATGAGGTCCAACTATGCAGAATTTAGTGTCCCTCTAGTTTGAAACATAAAGACATTGGACAATCCCCAAATGTCTTTAATGACTATAAAGTAATCTCCCACCCTCACGTCATGTGTTTTGTCTTCAGAACAGAAAACAGGACAAATGAAGCATCTGTTCATAGACATAGATAAAAATCTTTATTCATCTGTTAATTACTCACGTCTGCCAGCTCTGTATCCGTCATGTTCTTGAGGACATCTCCAGGGAAGGTGACAGACACAGATTTCTTCAGGGGAACACACTGTCCACCCAGCATACACATCCCCAACACAAACAAAGCCAGAACTCCTCTCATGGTGAGACCAAGGGGAGGAAAAAGTCGTCCAGAAAGTAAACGAAGATGCAAGAATGCGCCAGATAGACAGTCAATGAAGATTAATGCTCTCTCACCGACAGAAAAAAGAACAGTTTCTCCCTTGAAGATCTGTGGATTTCAAAAAAAGTTCAGACAGTGTTGGCTCTTGTTGCTCTTCAATCTCTTTGTTGTGGCTGGCTCTTGAGACTAGTTGTCGTTCCCCCTTGGTGCTTTGGGTTCAGTATTTATGCTCTTAGTCTTAGCCACCCTCTTAACCCCCCCCCCCCCCCCCCCCCTATCTCTCTCTCTCTCTCTCTCTCTCTCTCTCCATCCCAGTCATCACCACTCCCACAGGAACTGGGCATTATGTTATTGTTCAGGGGGTTTCCTAAATGTACTGATCTACAGATTTAGCCCAATACATCACTTCCTACTGATGAACCCTTTTTTAGCACAATTTCTGTTAAAGTTTTGACAAATACAAGGATGACATACAATTATGAAAATTATCTTGAATAATTATGTTAGGATGTTTTGGCTTTATTCAAGCCAAAATAATGTATGACATTTGGTCAGAAGAGTGACTCTGACATAATGTGAATCTTAAAGTAACGTTTATTATGTTCTACAGCCATAGCGAGAGCTGCAGTATCAAATAAATCCATTGTGATAGCGTGCTTTATTTAAAGGTCATATTCATCTGTGAGGTTTAGCCAGTGGTTTTGCAACTGTAAGACTTGTGGAAGCCAAATTAAAAATTTAAAAATCATAACCTAAAATGGACTTGAACCTGGACTTCTGTTATCTAAAATAATCCATTGTAGCCGCAACATTTTCTTGAATGAAGTTTGCTTCTACTTTTCTGTTTTCAGATTTGGGCAAACTGTGACATACTGAGTCAGTGGTCAAACTGGGTCAATATATAACTACTGTATGTTATGCTGTGTAACTGTCTAGGGCTGCCAATAAAACAAATACAAGCTAAAACTCTCAGTCTCTCGCCAATCCCCACAAAACAATGTAAATGTCTAGGGCTGCCAATCAAATATAACCAAGTAAACGCTCTCTGTTTGTCCCTGCATATCAATAATCAAATACATGTACAGCAACTGTTGTATGGTTCAGAAGTGTATGAATGGAAGCTGATATTGAACCAAATAGCTACAAACATGAAGCTAAATACAATGATACAGAATTTAGTTAGGATCTAGTAATACTATCTGCATTATTACTCAAATATAAAGCCACAGACAACACTGATCCATTGCACAACATGGTTGTACATCAACATGTAATAATGCCATTGCAATACTGTGTGGTTAATTCAATTTAAGGAACAATACACTTTAATTTCACCATAACAGTGATGACATGCCATGGATCGTCACCTGAATCATTGTTATCAAACATGTGAGGCATATTAGGCCATGGGAAACTCATTAGTGTGTTTTTCTCACCCTAGGAGATATTTAATCATTCAAGACTGGTTTACTTCCGGCCCAAGCATCCGAGCACTTTACACAGGCCTATGCAGTTTCAGTGCAACACCTTTCAAATACAGATTATTATATGTGTATACGTAGGTATTCTCTTCAAAACTCTTGTCAGTCTAAATAGGTCTAAATACCCACTGGGCACAGATGTCAATTCAACGTCTATTCCGCGTTTGTTCAATGTAATTTTTTTGAATTTACGTGGAAACAACGTTGATTCAACCAGTGTGTGTCCAGTTGGGAGAGTTTGGTCTTAAGCTTTTCAAACAAAAAGGGGACCAGAACTACAATTTGGTAAAGTCAAGAACCCAAGGTGATATCATCTAGCCACATTATGATGAGCTACAATCTGGTCAAGAACCCAAGGTGATATCATCTAGGCACATTATGATGAGCTATAATCTGGTAAAGAACCCAAGGTGATATCATCTAGGCACATTATGATGAGCTACAATCTGGTCAAGAACCCAAGGTGATATCATCTAGGCACATTATGATGAGCTACAATCTGTTAAAATCAAGAACCCAAGGTGATATCATCTAGGCACATTATGATGAGATATAATCTGTTAAAATCAAGAACCCAAGGTGATATCATCTAGGCACATTATGATGAGATATAATCTGGTCAAGAATTTAAGGTGATATCATCTAGCAACATTATGATGAGCTACAATCTGGTAAAGTCAAGAACCCAAGGTGATATCATCTAGGCACATTATGATGAGCTACAATCTGGTAAAGTCAAGATCCCAAGGTGATATCATCTAGCCACATTATGATGAGCTACAATCTGGTAAAGTCAAGATCCCAAGGTGACCTCCTGAGTGGCGCAGTGGTCTAAGTCACTGCATTGCAGTGCTAGCTGTGCCACTAGAGATCCTGGTTTGAATCCAGGCTCTGGCATAGCCGACCGGGAGACCCATGGGGCGGCGCACAATTGGTCCAGGGTAAGGGAGGGAATTGCTGGCAGAGATGTAGCTCAGGTGGTAGAGCATGGCGTTTGCAACGCCAGGGTTGTGGGTTCGATTCCCACAGGGGGCCAGTATGAAAAATGAAAAAATAATGTATGCACTCACTAACTGTAAGTTGCTCTGGATAAGAGTGAAAGCTAAATGACTAAAATGTAAATGTGATATCATCTAGCCACATTGTGATTCTGTGGTTAAGTATTTCAGGCAGGAAGATGAATCATGAACTGGATGAGGGACTTTTTTTCTATGAGCACATGGCTGATATCCAACTCTGGCCCCCATATACACTAAACCAAAGGTGTAGAGTAGCAGTCTGCAGCTGGGAATGCTACAGGTGATGATAAAGCTGGAGGAAATCTCTGTCCCCTAACATGGGGTAGGGGACAGAAGGTAGGATCCAGGGTTGGGGTCAATTACATTTCAAGTAAGTACACAGATATTCCAATTATCCTCAATGCTTTCAAATGAGGAACATTTTGAATTGGAATTTTGGTTTACTTTCTGAATTGACTGGAATTGAAATGGAATTGAGCCCAACCCTGGCAGGACCATAGCAATAGAATCACATTCATTCTAGTTCTGTGGGCAGAACATGGGGTAAAGGACTGGCGGTAAGCTTTGCCACCCCCCCAAAAAAAAAAAAATGATGTGATTGGCAATAGGTTGTTTGGCTTTCTCAGAATTATTGGTAAAGGGGTATGACAAACAACACCAGAGAGATGTTGCCATATCTGCTGTGATATTGGGTAAGCATATCATTGCGTCTTCGCTTGATATCTGTCCAAGGTGCAAAAACACACTCACTCGGTCCCGCAAACAATTCAAATCAGTCAATAAAAGGTTCTTTATATTTTCGTCTAATATTTACACACATTAAAACTCTACAGGTCCAGGAATATTCATTGGCCAATGCTCACTGTATGCGTGATGCCAGAAAATACCATTTAAGAAGAGTGGGTTGAGTAAAGAATGTCAGCTGATGGTAACAACAATCAAACGAGGGAAATGAAAACCATTGAAGCCCATCTTACTCTAAAACCACAATGGGAGCCATATACACAGAGAGTTCGGGGAAAATATGCACTTCTGAGATGCACTGCTATAGTTTGTCAGAACCATGCTCAACTCGAAGCGTAACTGAGACCTGAAGACTAGTCTAATGTTTGGGCTTGAGCTCAGTTGGCTAACACAGTGTTGTACCACACAGATGTGTGTGTGTGTGTGTGTGTGTGTGTGTGTGTGTGTGTGTGTGTGTGTGTGTGTGTGTGTGTGTGTTTGTGTGCGTGCGTGCGTGCCTGTGAGACATAAGAGATGGAAAACACAGAACTGTTCAGGTGGGTTCTAAACAATGTAATTCCATTCAAAGTTGTTTTGTTTTGACCAAGAGAACACTGGCTGCTTCAGAGGCAAGCCAGCCTCATAGCTTCTGTGAGACTTTTCTTTGCTTTGCTTGGTTTCAGGGAGTTTGTATAGTGCTTTGACCTTTCACCCTCATTATTCAGGCAGTTCACCCGTGATACAAGTCAGTATTCGACGTCCATCCATGTCTGAGGACATCGGGAGATGACGTGAAAACTGGCCACTAGGGGCAAAAATTGGGGAGGGTTGTGTGGTTTTTTATTGGTCACAGGGGAGGTTAGTGTCTTTTTTCCCTGGTTTACGTTCACCCTTTTGCAGGTTTTACTAAATAATTTCTTCCATCCTAGCCACATTTCCTCATCTGCTTGCATGATCCTCCCTATATCAAGGTGTTCTGGTACTTCCTTATGCACCACGCTTTTCCGCACGCTAACAATCCCACAGGTCAGTATAGTCTACCAGTCTAATGCTCTGTCCTGCCCTCTATCCACCATTCATAGTGACAATAGTGGTAGGTGGATTGTTTGTCCAGATCTGCAATAGGCTAACTAGCAATCATACCACACATAAAATCTTTCAAAGCTGCACCAATTCTCAATATAAGCGGAGAGGCCAGATGCTTCATTGTGCATGTCACGCCCTGACTCAGGGGACGCTTATATGTTGAGTCAGGGTGTGTATATTCCTTGTTGTGCTTTTTCTATGTGTGGTATTCTAGTATGTATATTTCTATGTTGGCCGGTGTGGTTCCCAATCAGAGGCAGCTGTCGCTCGTTGTCTCTAATTGGGGACCATACTTAAGCAGCCTATTGGCACTGTCTAGTTGTGGGATCTTGTTCCGTGTAAGGTTTGTTGTTCTGTACTACATTTACATTTTAGTCATTTAGCAGACGCTCTTATCCAGAGCGACTTACAGTTAGTGAATACATATTTTTTTTATACTGGCCCCCCGTGGGAATCGAACCCACAACCCTGGCGTTGCAAACGCCATGCTCTATCAACTGAGCTACATCCCTGCCGGCCATTCCCTCCCCTACCCTGGACGACGCTGGGCCAATTGTGTGCCGCCCATGAGTCTCCCGGTCGCGGCCGGCTGCGACAGAGCCTGGATTCGAACCAGGATCTCTAGTGGCACAGTTAACACTGCGATGCAGTGCCTTAGACCACTGCGCCACTACCTTGGACTTCACGTTTCGTTTCCGTTGTTGTTTTGTTGTGTTTATTACGTTAATAAACATGTACGCATATCACGCTGCGCCTTGGTCTGACCCGTCATTAAACGAACGTGACAGAAGATCCCACCAGACCTGGACCAAGCAGCGTGCCGAGGAGGAGCAGAGAGGATGGACTTGGCGGGAGATAAGAGAGGATCTGGCAAGGCAGATGGAGGCCCTG